AGGGATCAGGTCAGATCTTAACTTGTTGCCATCAGGTGAGATGATTATCTGTCACTCTGTGAAAGTTTCTATGGGACGAACTATTGATCCAAATGACAGTGTATGGAAAAATGTTGTTGATGACAGAATGGGCCGCTGGTGTGCAGGTTCCTTCACTTCACTGTGCATCCGTGTCCTCCTGCAGCACAAACTCAACGTTGGTCTCACATGAATAACATTGCATGAACAGCACTGTCTGCATTTGATTACAAAGATATGCCCAGACACAAACTTAGGCCCACCTCTCTGAAGTACGTTATCAATGTGCACATCCTGTCATGTGACCACGTGGATTCCTCTGCCAGAGTCATGAACTGAAAGTATTTCCACAGTCGACAGAGCAGGAAGTAGAAACACAGCGTTAGTCCCATTTTCTTTTTCTTCTGTGGTCAAAGTCTCTGAGTCAGCTGTGCCTCTGTGAGCTGGAGGGGAAATATGGAAGGATCAGCTCAATGCTGGACTGTCTCTGGATTCATTATCCTCTGACCGTCACACTTCTTTGTCTCCCAGTCTTGGGCGCGAGTCTTGTACAGACTTGTTTGTCTGATTCTTGTTCTGCACTCACAGTCAGTGTTGTTGGTTTCTCTGTCAGACGGACTGAACATGAGCGGTTTGGAGGAAGACGAGGACACAGCAGAGTCTCCAGGATCCAGCCGTCTGTCTATGAAGAGCGATCAGTCCAAAAATCCTCCTCCAGGCTTCAGTACTGATCCTGGACCCTCAGGCAAAGAGTAAGAGCCTGTTTGTGCTGTAAACTGATGTCTAAGATGATTCTGCTGCTGTGTCTGTGAGAGCAGCTTCGCTGAGCTGCTCTCACAGACACAGCAGAGCTTCAGTGGGGCTGTTCAACATCAGTTTGTTTTCCAGCAGAGAAACTAGTTTGGCCTGAAAACATCAAACTCACTGAGAAACACATGATCGAGTTCTTCTGTCTGTATCTGTATGCAGCTCAACATCTGTGAGGATTTTTTGACTGAACTGATAACGGGGAGATGGGGCGTAGAGCGCTACATCTCTGCATCAGACGGAGCCAGCTGATGTGGCATGTCCCACCGGGAGGGGACCCGGGACACGCTCCAGAGTCTATGTCTCTCGGCTGGCCTGGGAACACCTCAGTGTTCCCCCGGAAAAGCTAGAGGAGGTGGCTAGGAGAGGGAGGTCTCTGCTTAGGTTGTTGCCCCCGCAACCCGGCCCTGGGTAATATGACCCCGGATGGGAAAAGACTGGGAAAGCATAAATCTAGCAAATAGTTCAAATCGCCTCTGAGAAACAGCAGCACCTGTCGCAATAAGGACCGCAGTTTGATAGAGAAGGTCTCAAGGGACTCAAGCATTCTTTATGGCCTGGTTTGGTTTGTATGTGTCCATGTACACACGGTTTGAATCAGTCTGAGGGAGGAGCTCTGCTGCCTCGGTACTGTGGAGTGGAGTGAGTAAGATGGGCGGTCCATGATGGGATCAGTGACTCTAATGTCCCTCATCACTCAAATACCTCCAGATTCTGGCCAGTGATGGTTCCAGTCTCATGAACCAGTTTGCTGATCCTGTTACATGCTGACATCTTTGGCACTGATGCTGCCAACCCCCCCTCTGCACCACAGACTGGTAGACATGTATGTATATGTGTGTATATACAGGGAGTGCAGAATTATTAGGCAAATGAGTATTTTGTCCACATCATCCTCTTCATGCATGTTGTCTTACTCCAAGCTGTATAGGCTCGAAAGCCTACTACCAATTAAGCATTAGGTGATGTGCATCTCTGTAATGAGAAGGGGTGTGGTCTAATGACATCAACACCCTATATCAGGTGTGCATAATTATTAGGCAACGTCCTTTCCTTTGGCAAAATGGGTCAAAAGAAGGACTTGACAGGCTCAGAAAAGTCAAAAATAGTGAGATATCTTGCAGAGGGATGCAGCAGTCTCAAAATTGCAACGCTTCTGAAGCGTGATCATCGAACAATCAAGCGTTTCATTCAAAATAGTCAACAGGGTCGCAAGAAGCGTGTGGAAAAACCAAGGCACAAAATAACTGTCCATGAACTGAGAAAAGTCAAGCGTGCAGCTGCCAAGATGCCACTTGCCACCAGTTTGGCCATATTTCAGAGCTGCAACATCACTGGAGTGCCCAAAAGCACAAGGTGTGCAATACTCAGAGACATGGCCAAGGTAAGAAAGGCTGAAAGACGACCACCACTGAACAAGACACACAAGCTGAAACGTCAAGACTGGGCCAAGAAATATCTCAAGACTGGTTTTTCTAAGGTTTTATGGACTGATGAAATGAGAGTGAGTCTTGATGGGCCAGATGGATGGGCCCGTGGCTGGATTGGTAAAGGGCAGAGAGCTCCAGTCCGACTCAGACGCCAGCAAGGTGGAGGTGGAGTACTGGTTTGGGCTGGTATCATCAAAGATGAGCTTGTGGGGCCTTTTCGGGTTGAGGATGGAGTCAAGCTCAACTCCCAGTCCTACTGCCAGTTTCTGGAAGACACCTTCTTCAAGCAGTGGTACAGGAAGAAGTCTGCATCCTTCAAGAAAAACATGATTTTCATGCAGGACAATGCTCCATCACACGCGTCCAAGTACTCCACAGCGTGGCTGGCAAGAAAGGGTATAAAAGAAGAAAAACTAATGACATGGCCTCCTTGTTCACCTGATCTGAACCCCATTGAGAACCTGTGGTCCATCATCAAATGTGAGATTTACAAGGAGGGAAAACAGTACACCTCTCTGAACAGTGTCTGGGAGGCTGTGGTTGCTGCTGCACGCAATGTTGATGGTGAACAGATCAAAACACTGACAGAATCCATGGATGGCAGGCTTTTGAGTGTCCTTGCAAAGAAAGGTGGCTATATTGGTCGCTGATTTGTTTTTGTTTTGTTTTTGAATGTCAGAAATGTATATTTGTGAATGTGGAGATGTTATATTGGTTTCACTGGTAAAAATAAATCATTGAAATGGGTATATATTTGTTTTTTGTTAAGTTGCCTAATAATTCTGCACAGTAATAGTCACCTGCACACACAGATATCCCCCTAAAATAGCTCAAACTACAAACAAACTAAAAACTACTTCCACAAACATTCAGCTTTGATATTAATGAGTTTTTTGGGTTCATTGAGAACATGGTTGTTGTTCAATAATAAAATTATTCCTCAAAAATACAACTTGCCTAATAATTCTGCACTCCCTGTATATACATATATGTAAGCTTACATGAGGCTGTACGCTAAGTGGAAGGAAGGGGGCCGGGGACTGGTGAGTGTCAGCACCACAGTCCAGGATGAGACAACAAACATCCACGAATACATCACAAAGATGGCCCCAACCGACCGAGTGCTCAGTGAACACCTCAGGCAGCAGAAACCCAAGAAAGAGGAGGGAGACGAGGAACCATCATGGAAGGACAGGCCCCTGCACGGTATGTACCACCGGCAGATAGAGGAGGCTGATATCCAGAAATCCTACCAGTGGCTGGACAAAGCTGGACTGAAAGGAAAGCTCGAGAAATACCAAGAGCTGGAGAAGACGTGGAGGGTGAAGGTAACGGTGGTCTCCGTGGTGATCGGAGCACTAGGTGCGGTGACTCCCAGGCTAGGTGAGTGGCTCCAGCAGATCCCCGGAACAACATCGGAGATCTCTGTCCAGAAGAGCGCAGTCCTGGGAACAGCTGAGATACTGCGCAGGACCCTCAAGCTCCCAGGCCTCTGGTAGAGGACCCGAGCTTGAAGGATAAACCGCCCGCAGGGGCGAGTGGGGAATTTATTTATTTGTTTAATACACACACACACACACACACACACACACACACACTGCTCGTGCCTATGGTACGACAACTTTTCTCCGTGCCCCTGGTACACTGCGCAGAAACACCTTGCCCCACACACACACACACACACAGGCAACAATACCAAAGTATTTCGAGTGCGTTACTGTCACACACATGTGAGACTCTTTTCTGCATATATTTTTGCACAGACTTCTGCTGGGCTGTGCAAAAACAAAACGACTGCTTGAATCAGTTAAGAGCAGCAAAAACTGTCCTTGGAAAAATAAACTGGGTAATTGAGTATTGAATATTTTTCTTGTTTGACCAACATTTTAGTGCATTTTTATTATAAGAATGTGAACATTGGTGAAGAGACGCACTCTGACCTCCAGGTCAGCTAAAACATGCATGAAACACAGTGATTCACCGCCCAGAGTCACACCGTCAGCAGAGCTGCGCACGGCGCCAGGGCGTCCTTAATACAGCAGCAGTGCTGAAAAAGGTCGAAGGTACACGAGGAGGCCTCCATGAAGGAGAGATCAGACGAGTTCAAATCAGACGTGTTTTCGCGGTTCTGCACGTTCAGCCGCCGTTTCAGGTGACAAAACACTGACAGTCATCACTCACAAAATAATGACAAAAGAAAGAAAATGCAGGAGTTTGGATATTTCACGATCAAAATAATGAATCAGAATAAGAGGTGCAGCTCGGCGTTAGATCTCTTTATCTTGAGGAATCTCGTCGGTGCGACAGACGTTCAGTTCAGTTCATTTTTATTTCAAACATTTCAAACATGTGCCTTCACAATCATTACAAAATATCATTCCATTATTTGTTTGAAAAGGAGTAGGCTGAAGTATTTACTTATTTGTCCCTACCCCCTCAAGTTTTACCTCTCATTCATTTAATTTTTTTTTTTGTCTTAAATTAAACAAACAACATATGAAACATATAAACATATGAAGTAAAACAAAACATAACATACATAAATCAAAAACAAGAAATTAGCAAGCCCCACCACAGTATAGTTTCTTTCATATGAAAAATACAGAATGTGTATATTTGCAGATACACAAGTTATGGAAAAACAACAAACCAAAACAAAACAAAAAAACAACCAAAAAGAACCACAACACCATTACCAGCAACATTACCATCCTGGGTTAACCCGTTTCTTCATTCTTATACTTATTTAAAATTAGGTTTTTATATTTTACTTTAAACTGTTTTATGTTTTGACTGTCTTTTATTTCTTCTGTTAGTGAATCGCGTGAATCGCGTGAATCGCGTTCGGTGTTAGAGACCTGGATCTTCAGAGATCAACCCACGGATGTCTTCACATAGTGAAAGAAGCGCCACTGTTGCTGGACCCGTCCATCGAGCGCAGAGTGGAGGACATGTAGAAGTCGGAGGTGACTCTGGAGAAGCGGCGTGGGGCCTTTCCGAGACACCAAAGGTCCCTGAAGATCCTCCTGAAATGGTTCCTGAAGTTCAGCCCCACCAAGGCGTACAGCATCGGGTTCAGGCAGCAGTGCAAGTAAGCAATGGTCTGCGACACTGTCAGGGCCATCTCCAGCATGTCCGCCTCATCACACGAGTACTCCTGAAACACGGTGACCGTGTTGTACAGCAGCACTATGTTGTAGGGCAGGTGGCAGATGATGAACACGGCCACAACCACCAGCATCTCCCACACCTCTCTGTGGTGCTGGAGATTCTTGGTCTTAAGCAGGGTGATGATGATGCCACTGAAGCAGAAGATCGTGATGAAGAGTGGCAGGAAGAAACCCACGCTGATCTGAGTGATGGGGACGGCCACCCTCACCGCCATGGCTGGGCCTTCAAACTTGAGCTCACAGACGTACGCAGGAGTCCTCTGGAAACCAGTTTGGTTATCATCGTCGAATATGATGTGATTCATGTGTGACGGCTCGTACCACTGATAGAAGTAGAAGGTGGGGATGGACACGAGTATAGCGAAGATCCAGATGATGGCGCAGATGATGGACCTGTATGACAGCCAGCGCCTGCGCCGAGCCTGGGCGATGGCGATGTAGCGGTCGGTGCTGATGCAGGCGAACAGCAGCATGCCGCTGTACAGGTTCACGCTGTAGGAGCCGCGCAGCAGCTTGCAGGCCACCTGCCCCATCGGCCACGACCACAGCTCGTTGTAGACAATGAATGGTAGCGCCAGCACAAACAGCAGGTCGGCGATGGCCACGTTGATCAGGTAGATGTCAGTCATGCACTTGATCCTCTTGTAGAAGGCGTAGGTGACAATGACCATGCTGTTCCCCACGAGGCCCAGGATGCAGAAGATGGAGTGGATGTACGCGCCGATCACCTTCACCACATTCGGGTTGTTGTGAAAAACACAAAAACCATCATAATCTAGGTAGTCACTGACATTATATTCATATTCATAGTAGGACATCTCCATGGTGTATGGTTGGTTGGACATCTCCATGGTGTATGGTTGGTTGGACATCAAATCCTCTGCAGAGTAGATCACTATAAAGGAAGCAGAGAGTAAACATCAAACTACAGCAAAGGTGTCTGATGGACTCACAGTGAAATGATCTCTTTCCACCCTAGTTTAGCATATGACAGTGATGTATATGTATATAAGACAGCATTAAATGGTAAATGGCCTGTATTTATATAGCGCTTTACTCGTCCCTAAGGACCCCAAAGCGCTTTACATATCCAGTCATCCACCCATTCGCACACTGGTGATGGCAGCTACATTGTAGCCACAGCCACCCTGGGGCGCACTGACAGAGGCGAGGCTGCCGGACACTGGCGCCACCGGGCCCTCTGACCACCACCAGTAGGCAACGGGTGAAGTGTCTTGCCCAAGGACGCAACGACCGAGACTGTCCAAGCTGGGGCTCGAACCGGCAACCTTCCAATTACAAGACGAACTCCCAACTCGCATTAACACTTTGAGCCGAGCTACAGTTAAGACTGAATATAAACTCTAAAGCTGAATATATTGCAGAGTGTTACCCCCACTCCCCCGCCTCTACCATTAACAAATGGTTCAGCCCACAGCGTGGAGCCGCTATATTTCTTGTTGTCAGTAGCAACCGATGCCTATTATTGTTCCAGAGCACTTTTTGAACAACACCGTGGATTTCACACAGCTGGTTGGTTATGACACTGTGGAAATGGACTGAAGGTGAGTGTTATTAACTCTCAGTGCGCTGCGAATCACATGACTGATTTCAGCTGACATAGCAACAAGCTGCAGCCGCGCTGAGTCTCTATTCCTTCTTGTGTTGAACGTTCGGACTTCCTATTTTTACATTTTAATGACAGGTGACTAAACCCAGAGTTAGGATGAAATATATACAAAAGCTTTGCTTTTTCCTGAATACTATTGTCACACAAAGAGTAAAGAAAGAAAAAAGGCAACACGTGAGATTTAGTTGTTTAGGACGAAGTTTTGGGAGTGATGGCAGCGAGTGAGAGAGTTTTGAGATGTTTAGCATGGAGTGTGTAGTCAGCGTGTTGTGTGTGTGTTGTGTGTCAGTGAGGGCACTAATGAATGTGACAAAGGCTGCAGTGCAAACACTGTCTCCAGGTGGAGACAGGAGCAGTGATGCACGTCCTGCTGTCAGGCCTGCAGCTTTGTCCCTGTGCTGTTCTCTGTCTCGTGGCCACAAACTCATTTTCTTCACTGACACCAATGATTCGTGCGGCATCTTATTGTGACACCTGCTTGTTCTCTCATTGTAGTTTCAGTAGTTTTAAATGTTTGTACTAAGACGCGCCGGACGCACTGACTTTTAGATAAATAGTTTTTAAAATGTGACAGTTTATATTTGCATTTCAACTTTAGTAAAATTATTCACTAAACATATTTGTGGTTTTTACAGTAAAGCGAATATAACTACGACTAGGATTTGATGTTTTTGTGTGATTTCAGATCAGTTGTGTTACTACAGCTGAATGATACCAAACAAGGCGAGGTAACAAAAGATGTAAGGGTGAAACACAAAGTAGTGAAAAGTGTGCGGTTATGTCGTGCTCCCCAGAGGGTGAACCCAACAAATCATGAAAAATGAGCTTTTTGTTCATGACGGTGCAGATTTCTGACATTTTGTGTAAATTTAAGCAACAATCAGATTTTTCTAACAAAGTGTGAAGCTTCAGTTAGACTTGTGTTTGTAAATGAACCGCCCCATGTTGTGTAGCTTTACTGGGCTACATATTTATTTATTATACAGGCTACACAGTACTTAACATTCAAACTAGGGCTGGGTTTTTATAATCGATTCATCGATTAAAATCGATTCTGGCTTGGATAACGTAAAATCGATTCATTAAAATCCTGAATCGATTTTTTAATATAAATTTATTTTGTCCGAAATGCCAGAATCTCAGGTGACATCTCACAAAATTTCAACAACCACCAAACATCTAAGACAGTAAATGAGAGCAGGTACAGGGATTCTGCACATAGACTTAAACACACAGCGCGACCCGCGGATCAGAATCAGTTAGATGTCGCCTTTCTCACAGTCGGGGCTGAAAGCCGACAGCTCGCTGATCCGGGTCCACGCTTTGTGTTCACGCCCTTTATGCGCTGATTCTAAAGCTGTTAGTTTGATGTCTCTCCAAACAATATTGACCAAACCAGCAGCAAAAGAAGATCCAAACGCTTCACATAAACATCGTCATGAATTCACTCTTTTACTGTTTTGCTTCCATTGCGATGCGCAGCTCTCTCTCTCCCTCCCCCCCTCCCCTCTCTCTCGAACAGTTTCGCTTTCTTCATTATTCGCTTGCTTGTTACACAAGTCTACTGTTGTTTACAGCGCTGTCGGCCGCTGTTTTTTTCCCTTTTACATTCTTCCGAAAAGAAAACCTCATTTCTGCTGTTCAATACTGAACAAATTTAAACTTTTTAATATTATTCAAAATGCAAAATGCTGTGTCTCTAATAAAACCGCTGTAACGTCAGAGGTAATGTTCATTAATTAATGGTTTTCTTTCGTTTTTGATGTACTGCAGAATATTTTTATAAAATCCCAGGCCAGGAAAATCACCTTCATGTTTTTCTGTTTTATCTTCAGCTACTTTGACACAAAGGCCTCGCTGTGATGCTCACACCTTGGATAAAGTCTTGAGAGTGTCAGCTTCCTTTTTATAGATACAAAAATATGTAAATGTTCTGATCTGAATTATACTTCTGACTGTCAAAATTTCCCAGATTTAAATCGAATCGAATCGAATTAAATCGAATCGTGGACCGAATCGATTTGGGACCTTGTGAATCGGAATTGAATCGATTCTAGAAATCAGTGACGATACCCAGCCCTAATGCAAACTCACACGTGTAACTGAGGTGTTTCATTATGTGGGCTAAAGAAAATAATTCAGTTACACAAACGTGCAGATTCAGTGCATGTGAACCATTGTAACCATATGTAACATATGTGTTTAAAAAGGCTTTGATTTGTCTGCGACAGCAGACGTGCACTGTGGTCACGCCAGCATCGAATCATCCAAGTTACATGTTTTATTAAACTAATCAAATTACAGCATTTATGTTAGACTACTTTTAATTAACTGCTTTAGTCCACTTACAATGAAAATTTTAAAAAATTTGGGAGACCACCAGGGGGACATAAGGAAGATGGCAGCATAAGCTTGCAGCTCCCGGTCAAAACTCGAAAGAAAACCAGAATTCGAATATTTCCACCGCTAAACCGTGTAATAAATGCCATGGAAGGTGGAAGAAGGTCAAAAAGACAAGGAAACATTAAGGACTTTGTGAAACAAGCGGAGCTGGCAAGAGGAGGCAGCGCAGACATGTCCGAGAACAGCGTGCAAGGCGAGCAGATGGAAGGAGATCCAGCTAGCCACCCTCACGCAGACTTCCAGGTAGGGTTGCCAACTCCCTGAAAAATAAATAAGGGACACCTCGTGGCCAGGGCCGGGCGACCCAGTTGTCTTCACCCTTCCCAGTGTGGTGAATTTTCTAGCTTTTTTTGTGTGTGAAATTATTTTTTTTAACCCTTTGACTTGAAGTTGATTTAAGTAGATGTGTTCATATGAACACATGTGAAACAAATGATCATTTAGCCATTTATTTTTAGCTCAAAATGACAACATTAACACATAAAACAGGTCTCCTTCTTAAACAGAAGCCTGTCATGCTTAACTTTTGAGAATATAAGTAAATCTTTCTTTAAAAGAACTCTGTCCTGCTTAACTTAAAATAATAGAAAACAATAGAAAGAAAAATATTCTTGTAACAGTGCACATTTAGTGCATTTAGTACAATTGGCTTCAGCTGAGGTATTATTTCAGCTTTTCTAATGCTAGTCAGCTGCTCCTGTTTGTAAACCCGCTTGTTCCCATGATTACGCATCTTAACTCATCATCATTATTCATCTATGTATTACTTTTATGTATTAGTCATCTATTTGTTGTAATCATCTATCCTTGCAGTTGTTTATTACACAAAATAAGTTATATTATCACACTTCTGGCCACATAGCGCTGATATTCACTGCACATGCCCATATTAACGTTTTCCAGCCAGGTGTTTTCCTTTTCCCATTCTTCCCTTTCTCTGAACAAACATTGCTGCTCTAATGCTGGGCTCACACTGTGCGGTTTTAGGCCCATTTTGAGACGATTTTTGAGTCGTGCGACCGATTTGGTGATCGGACCGATTTTGGCCTTCATCGTGCGTCGTGTAGTATACGTGGGGTAACGAGAAGCGATTAACACCTCACGACCAGCTCCGATCATCAATCGCTCGTGAGGTTCTCACCACAGCCGCTCACACTGCTCACGCGCAAACGTCGGTGAAAAAGACGGAGCAGCACGGCTGTGCAGCGTGTGATCTGGACACAAGCAATGGAGGCACACAACCGTGAAAATAGTTGGATTTACATGCTGCTCAATCACAGCTGCCTGACCATGTTTTTCATTAGCAATTTAGCAAAGTTGATGGTGGTGGTGTGTCTGTGTGAGTGAGAGACAGAGAGAGCGAGCGACAGATTTTCTGTTATAACCTTCATGTTATGGAGGCACAGTGTGAGCACTCAGGTCGCATCAGAGCATCGGGCCGTATAGTGTGAGACCTGCATCGTGACCTACCAACTTTTAACCCCTGCGAGTCAATCGTGCAGTTTGAGCAGGAGCTGAATAACGTGACTGTAAAAATCGCACAGTGTCTGTCCAGCTTTAGGTGTACTGTCGTCCGAGACTTGCACCGCAGTGTCGGCGTTTGTTTCCCTGTTGGCCATGCTTCTTGTTGTGGTCATCTGTTGTCTTCCGGTATTTTCTCCGTAAGCGACCTTTCCTCGACCAATGAGATGAGCGGTAATCTGAATTGTCATACTCGTAAGTGTGCTGTCAGCTCATTGGTCACAAAGCAGGAGAGGGGCTGGGAATTGTGTTTTCAAACAAAGCGTTAATTCCATAAACATTTATAGACTACTTTTGATTCTCACTGTATTACGGGACAAAGTGCGTCCCTTATTAGCTCAATACGGGACGTGTACTTTTGTTTCTAAATACGGGACGATTCAGTTTTTTAAGGGACGGTTGGCAACCCTACTTCCAGGACATCATTAAGGAAATTCACTCACTTAAAGCCGAGTTTAAAACTGAGTTTGCCACGTTTAAGAAAGACATCACACAAGAAATGAAGGACGAATTCGACAGTTTCAAGAAAGACATACAGATGGACAATGACTCACAACATCCACCGAAGCACCTCAGGAGTTGAATTTTCTTCAATGTCCAAGTCCGTCACCTGATCCTAACCCCGCTCAGCATTTCACTCTGAACTTTGGACAGAAAGGCCACAAACAAACATCAGCTGCAGGTTGGTGCAGTAAAGCTGTGGCAGAGCATTAAACAGCAGGAAACCAGCATTCAGGCTGTCAGTGCCAGCAAAGGGTTTGGAATAAAGTAATAGAAACAATCATTTTATTTTCAGTTACTTCATTCATCCAAATTCTTTAGAGCCTCTAAAACAAAGGGATTGTGCTAACAGTACTCCAGTTTCTCCCATTTTTAATCCGTTTGTCCAACCCACTGAATTAAAGCTGAAAGGCTGCACTTCAGCTACATCTGACTGGTTTCATGTCACTGTGCTAATGTCCATTAGAAAATAAGTCTCTATACAAATATTTATGGAGCTCCAGAAGTGGAGGCTGCTGAGGGGGCACTACTGCACAAAGCGGCGAGCAGTGAAGCAGCTCGTGTTGCTGAGACGTGCCCGTCAGTCCACCACAGGAGGTTTTTGTAAAGCTTTTATTTTGATATTTTCTTTGACCAGTAAATTTGCATATTAGCTAAATATTTAGTTCCCCGTAACATTTAGATTTAAATATAAAAAGGTACAAATTTTGTCCTAAATGTGTCATAAAATTTCAGCATATTTTAGTTACAGTCTAGAAATCCACGTCAGTAAATCCTTTCATACGTGCAGGTTGAGCTCTTTCTGCTGATGTGATGAAACCTGTTTACGAGCAGCAGCGTGGAAACTCCGGCTCATCTGCCAAGAGACAAACAGCAGAGATAACTGAGTCCAAGCAGGGAGTCTGTCAGGACTATCAAACGTCTCTCTGAGCTGTGACGGGACAAATGTCCACGATGGGTTCCTTCAAAGTGCTCCTCTGTGCGCTGACTCTGACGGCCCTGACCGTGGACTCCTCGTCTGGTAAAAAGTTTTAATGTTGTGGTGAGGTTTAAAAGCAGCTGCGTGGCTGGTTGTACAGAACACAGATTACATCAAACTAACAGCGTTTCCTTCTGACAGGAGGATACAGCAACTACGACCTGTCGGGTCAGCAGCTCACAGATCTCTACAACTCTCCAGTGTACAAAGCTGAATGGATGGTCCGACCGCTTGGATCCAGTCCACGTTTGGACCGCTCAGCCACACCGGCGTCAGGGCAGGCTACACGCTCACCGTATTTATTTAAAAACCTGCTGCTTTCACTACCGCTGATGTCCATCTGGAATCCACCGTCGCCGCAGAAGAAGACGCTGCCTGAGATTCCTTCAGTTTTCTTCAGTTCCACTTTGCAGCAGCTCCTGCTGATGGCTGCAGTGATGGGTCATCATACCTGAGCCCAGACTGGTTTTTATGTTTCCAGGCTAGAAACGTTTTTAACCTTTGCTACAAAACAAAGACAAACCACGGCCTGGCCGAAGCTTTGACATCACAACTCTTTGCTATTCTTTGAAAAGGCTCAGATTGCGTCCAACTGTCGCATTTCTTACTCTGTCCAGGCTCCGCTGCACTTCCTACATCCTCAGATTCGTTCCTTTGCTTCCTTGAGTTCACAGATGCGCTTTGACAGCTCGAATCTCAGACTCTCAGATGTTTGATGAGCGCAGCGTCAGACTCGTTACGTTTTCTCTTCCCTCAGAGTGACGCTCGCTGATGGATCTCAGTGGCTGATCCACAAAGGTCAGGACTACGGCATCTCCTCTGACACGGTGGTGACCAGCGCTCGGCACATGAGCTCAGCCTGGAAGGTAAGTCAGAGTTTGAACTGAAGCTTTGAGCCAGACATTTTTGAAAGAGTGATGAGTTGCTGAACATAAAGATATTTCCTCTGTGGAGTAAAATGTGTGTTTCAGTGAATGATGAGCAGTATGGAGGCAGAATGAAGCACTAAAGTGTGCGTTCCCTGCAGCCCGTGTTTCACCTGAGCAGACAGTTTAACGGGAGGAAGAAAGTTGCTGCTTTTGTGAAACGTGGAGGACAAACCTACAACGCCCTCTTCAACTGCCACGTAGCTTCTATTACAATGATGCTGCAGTAAACCTGATTTCTTCATGATACAGGTGAAAGCTCCCAGACAGCGTCACAGGTGGATGTTGTTGTTCCAGCGTTCACACAGTCCGCTTCATGAACTCAAACTTCACTGAATCTGCATCTGAACGACCACACGGTGTAAGATGTCATGTGCTGTTCTCAGTTTACTACCTGGTAAAGATCCTGATACATTAAATCTGTGCAGTTTTAACGAAGACTACACACAGCCTGCAGCGCCCCCTGGTGTTTGTTTCTAAGTTCAGACATGCCCATTATGATAAACTCCTCAGAGCAGCGGTGGGCAACTCCAGGCCTCGAGGGCCGGTGTCCTGCAGGTTTTAGATCGCACCCTGGGTCAACACACCTGAATCACATGATTAGCTCATTAGCAGGCCTCTGGAGAACTTCAGGAAATGCTGAGGAGTCATTTCGCCCTTTAAATCAGCTGTGATGGATCAAGGACACATCTAACACCTGCAGGACGCGGCACTCGAGGCCTGGAGTTGCCTACTGCTGCCTTAGAGCAACATACGTCCCAATCACTGCGTAACAACACATCAGTGTCATAAATAAAACATTAATGCTAAACCAGTTTCCGTCTGTGTGTGCACGTGTTTCCGTTCAGTCTTTTAGTATTCTGACTCTGTTGTCTCTGCACTGTATTCGTGTTCACAGGCTTTGAATCATTCATGACGTAAATCCAAACGAGCTCATTAATGTCACGAGAGCAAACCAACATTTCAAATCAAACACTTCCTGTGTGTCGGTGTGAACGTGGCGGTAAACATTCACCCGGAGACCTTTTGAAGCCTCTTTAGTTCTTCGTGAAGTGAAGCTCTGCAAACTCTCCCACGGGGCTCAGATTTTTCTGCAGTCACGTCACGGACGCCAACACTTCAGAGACGCTGACGTCGGCCTGAAGAGCAAACTGATTGTTGTGCAGATTGCCGTGAAACGCCCGCAGCAGACGATGGGAATTGGCAGGGATCCCTCTGAACAGGACATCCCATAATGAGTGAGGTCAGGCTCCGGTGTGAAAGAAGCGATGGTCGTGTGGTGCGACGGCCTCGGTTGGTCAGCAGGCGCAGAAAGCCTCTGACGTCACACATCTGAGGAATCTCCGCTCGTGCAAACACACACACGCCGAGGATGCATCCTTACATCCTTACCGTGTGCAGACGCAGGAGTCCTGCACATCAGACTCGACAGAGCTGCTCGTCTATGACTCCAATGGAGCGTCTCTAAACACAGCACGCTGTCCTACATACACATAATTATATGTTCGTTCATCTTTGCCTCCAGGAAAGATCAGAAGACTGTCATGAATGTAAAACGCTCTGGTCCTGTGAGCCCAGCTGATGCTGCTCGTTGAACCTCCACGTGGAACAGATGTCCACTTTTCAAATTCAGAAAACCTTTGAATTTTCTTTTCCTTACAGGCGTTAGAGGAGACATATTCCTTATTTCTTTCAAATAAATATTAAAAATGTTTCATTCTATGATAAAAACACTGAGGCAGCAAACTATCTCTGTAAGCCAAACGCTTCAAGTGTTTTTCCTACTGTCACAGATTTCCTGACACAGTCATCTTCTACAGCACAGGCGTCCAACTCAGCCTCAGGGCCGGAGTCCTGCAGCTGTTAGACGAGTCCTTGATCCATCACAGCTGATTTAACGGCTAAACGAGCTCCTCAACATGTCCTGAAGTGCTCCAGAGGCCTGCTAATGAACTAATCATGTGAATCAGGTGTGTTGGCCCAGGGTGATATTAAAACCTGCAGGACACCGGCCCTCGACACCCCTGTTCTACAGGCACTGAGCACCCACAGAGCACACGTAGCCCCTCAGCAGGCTTCCACAAGCTTCCCAATCAAAAGAAAGCAGGCAGGGTGTTGGAGTCAAGTTGTTAATTGTTGTCATTGTGTTTCTTAAATTTGTAAGTCTTAGTTTAAACTATATGATCAAAGACATTCCTTTGATCCTGACCACCTCCCCCAGCTACTCTGGTGCTGGGGAGGCTTTATTAGGCAGATCTGTTTCCTGTGTGGTAAGCTTCCTGCTTTTATGGTCTTTCTGTGATCAGCAGGTCACACAAATGCACAACCATGACACACACACACACAGCCTTATCTTTTAGAACCATAGGGGGGTTTGTGAGGGGAGGTGCTTGTGTTTACTGTTGTGTAACTGTTTTCAGTAAACAGCTGTGAGGAAGGCTCCTCTCTGAAGAAGTTGGGTTGAGTCGGGTGAGGAGCGTTGAGCTCCAAGAGCCTGTTCCAACCAGCCTTCCCTTGCTAGCAAGTAAAATCGATCGATCGCTGATTGTGTTGTTGTTGAGAATAAGTTTCTAAACCAGTGGGGCCTGTGGAGGCGCAGACCCACCACAGGGGAAGGGAGGGTCTAAAGAGAGCTGGTGCCAGACAGATGAGCTGATCTAAGAAGAGTAAGGAAAAGGATCTGGAGTCTAAGAGTGGAAATGGAGCCGCAAATGACAGGAAGGAAACGACGACTGCGTTCTGTAGAAATCTCTATTTTAATGCAGTCAACAGAAATAAAAGGAAAACAAATTCAGATGTGATTAAAGGAGCATATTTACAAAAAGTCTCAGAGATTAAATCTGTTTTTTTAAACACAAGGAATAATTTTCTGTCATTTGCACATTTCATAAAACATACAAACGTCCAAAGAAACGCGTCTTCATTTTCACTGTGCGCCGGTGACCAGCAGGGGTCATGTGACCTGCCTGAACAAACCCCTGTGAGGCCCGTCCGTGCGACGGAGCTCACAGGTGACGATGTCGCGTCTCTTTCAAATCCTGTTTTCGGCGTCGCTCTTCCTCTCGGTGTAAAGCCCCCCCCCCCCTCCTGCTTCTTCCCTTTTTTCTCGCCTCAGTGGTTCAGGATCATAGGTGGAAGTTTGATGCAGAAACAAAGTGTTTCCCCCCTCGAGGAAAGCGAAAGTTCAGACTCTCCTCTCGAGGCAGCTGGCAGAGACACGCCCTCGGTCTCAGTGTGTCTCAGGCGAGCGTCTGCAGGGTCTGGTAGCCTCTCCTCTTCTGCGCTCGCAGCAGAGGCGTCTGAGTGTCCGCGTCTCGAGACGAAAACGTCCTGCGGGCTCGCCGCAGGTACACGCGAATCCATCCGTAGACCAGACAGTTAAAGAAGCCCTGAGAGGCCGAGGTTAACGCCTGAGGACACAAGACACGCTCGGGTCACTGCACGAAAGACACGTGAAACAACCTGAGAGAGGCGTGTGACTACGACAAAAAGAACCACAACGATGAGCCTGAGATATCCTACGTGATGACTCGCACAGAAAGCAACAAAAGACCAGTGAAGCAGTCGAGACGGCACAAAAAGGAAGCTTAATGAGACATAGTTACACAAAGAGAACATTCAAAGACCACAAAATGAGCCCGACACACAAATTCAACCACAAAATGTTCGACTGCTGTCAAAAGATCCAAATCAAACAAACTGTTCAACAGGAAAAGACGACACGCCACCAAAAACAGGCTGAACGAGCTCAGAGCGTAAACGCCGTCGTGTTTCTCTGGTACCGACTCACCTGCAGGATGTACAGCACCACCCCGGCTTTGCCCTGGCACGCCGCGGGATCCGCCACTCGCAGAAACGCCAGGATCACCGCTGAGGAAACAACACGACAAACAAAGACACGCTGAAACCTCGCTGACTGCGTCTGTCGCCAACAAGAACCAATCAGAGTCCGCGCCGAACAAACCTGGACCCCAGCAGAAGACGAAGACCAGCGGGTACAGGACCATCCTCCGGTCCATCACGCTGAACGAGGCCCGCTGCTCGCTGCCCAGGTAACCGTTAGAGGTCACGATGCGCCTGTAAATACAGCGCGCTTTGACCACGAGGACCTGCGGGGGGGGAGAGGGGAGGTCACCTCCACGTGATGTTCGTAGAATAAGACGCGTCTGTGCGACGAGCGTGAACTCACCGTGATGCTGAGGAGGGTGACGAGCACGGTGATGAGGAAGACGGTGATGTGGTAGGTGTGCAGGTACAGGCAGCTTCGGCTCATCGGCTGCTCGTCCGACATCAGGAACAGCGCTCCGGTGTGCATCATCAGACACCTGGTCGGATGTGGAAAAAAGCCCACTGAGCTTCTGCGTGGAAGCAATCGGTGGATTTGCTCGCGGCGTGAACACTTTGTGTTCTGGCCTCACCTGTAGGGTTCGGTAAGGTTGGCCTGACAGTGGCTGATGTTCCCCTCTATGATTACCGGCATCATCAGCAGCACAGGAAGCAGACTGCAGACACACAGAGCAGGACACACTGTTATCAGTACCACCGTGTGTGTGTTTGCATGCATCCACAGAGTGAGGCTTTGGTGCTCACTCACCATGAAACCAGAGCAACGATTTTACCCGCCGTGCTCACTCGGTTGGAAACCTGCACAAGGATGCAAAATATCACATCAGAATGTATTTATAGAGCACATGTTAAAACAACAGTGTTGACCACAGTGCTTCACAGTAAAAGCATGAGACAGGCGACAACAACAAGCTAGAACAGCCAACTCGTTAGAACCAACAGCCATAGTACAAAGATACGTTTCAGGACGTGATTTAAAAGACTGGATCGACTCGGCGGTACGAACATGAACAGGGAGGTTATTCCAGAGTCTGGGTGCCACGGTTGCAACGGCCCGGTCACCGAGACCTAGGTTGTGCTGGGAGCCTGTGATTGGCCGATCTAAGTGTTCAGCGAGAGAGCTGGATGCTAAATTATTCAGAATTTTAAAAGCGAACAAAAGAATTTTAAAATCTATGCGATATTTGACAGGGAGCCAATGTAGTTTGGCTAAAATTGGAGTGATGCGTTCGTAGATTCTCGTAGCTGTTAAGAGACGCGCAGCTGCATTTTGAATTAACTGAAGCTGGTAAAGAGAAGAGTGTTGGAGGCCCGAGTAGAGCAGTTACAGTCGTCCAGTCTGGATGTGTGCATAAGCTTTTCAAGGCCCTTTAAAATCATTTTAAAGCCTCATGTTTACTGAGACAAACAAAGCTGTTCATGCTGCACCGAAGTGATCAGGTACCAGATCAAAACTATTTTGAAGCATCAGGACCAAACATGGGGAGGTCTGTGCCCCGTCAGGACACTGGAGCATCTTTTTATCCTCTTAGGTTTCCCCACCATTCTACTTTTACCGAGCCTCTGGGAGCTGTGGGCCGCGCAGAGTTTGACCCTGTCAGGTTTGCCCTTTGTGTTATTCTAAAGCTTTATGAGCTGCAAACAAAACCCTGAAAGCTTTGTTTACTACCTGTTGTGTGTGTTTTGCTGCCCTGGCAGCTGGACAGATGTGTCTGTACCTGTACAGAGTATCCATCCATGCAGCTGCAGTACTTCTCCTTGATTCCTTTGTAGAGGTTCCAAATGTAGTAGAGGGTGTAGAAGAAGGAGGCCATGTAGAAAACCTGAAACAGAGTTTGTGATGAGCCAAATCCTCGCTCACGTTCGCCGCGCTGATTTTCTAAACAGGTCACCTGACACCCCGCCCCCTTTTCAGACTTTAATAGAGCGCGAGAGCCAAAAGGGGCAGCTGACCCGGGGTTGTTGCTCTGAGTGGGAGATGTGGGTCAGGAATGTTTTTCTGCTTCCAGGCTGTGTTCTGTCCTGGTTCTGCTGCTCCATTTCATCCCAGAATGACCCAGTTCAGGATCTGGACCTGGTCATCTGGGCCAGAATAGCTCACTCGATAGATATTTGGCAACAGAGACGTCAGCTGTGTCCCAAAACCTAGGCCGCATCCTTCGGAGGACCCGGCCTTCGCGGTCTACGTGGGCCGGGTCCTTCGAAGACTGAGAAGGCCGAAAGTGCGAGACGGTGAAATGGGACGGTCTCGCCTTCAGATCAGCGTCAGCGCTGTATGGGTGGAGTTTAATAAACTCCACGTCTGCTCCTTGCTGTCTAAAATATAACAGGACACTGGAGTAAACTCTCGACTGTCTCACACTTCTGTTTAATCAGTTTTCTGTTTGACGTTTATTCAGCTGTGTGAAAATCCCGGAGGAACCAACCCGATGGATTAATAAAGTTTTATTTAATCTAATAATCTAATAACTTTGATCTCAGCCAAACGATTTACTCCGGAACAAATAAAACACAGAAAAAAGGAAAGTTCTCCGAGTGACTTCAATATCATGTTTAACCTGAGTAGCGACAGAGCGGGGGTCTGAAAACGATGAAGCCGGGAGTCCGCTGCTCTCGCCGGCTGGAGTGACCATTGAACCCCCCGGCTAGCTATCGAGCTGGTGGGTAACAGACGTCTCCGAAAACGTCGGCGCACTTTTGCAAATATGCGATGTCTTGATAAACCGAGCAGATATTTGAAGTTTACACAGCTACTTTCTCGCCTGGAAATATGCTAAAAGTTTATTTTGTGACCCAGAAAGATTAATAAGAGTAATTTTAAAACTTAGCAGCAGCCGCCATTGTTGGCAGCTGAAATTTGGCTGGGCCGCGCTATGAATTCTGGGATATGGTGTGCCACGAAGGACACACCCGACCCATCCTTCAAATTCGGGGAAATGAAGGACGCATTTGAAGGAGTCGACGAATTGGGACAGCCTTCGTCGCCTGGCTGTGACGTGATCGGCCTTCAAACGCGGCCTCCGGAGGATGCAGCCGACGTTTTGGGACACAGCTGTCATTTACCCGCTCGTCCTCAGGTGCTGGATTGGTTGTCATAGAAACAGAGGTAAAACCGCACCCAGTTTTATTTGATGTAAACGGGACTGAACGAGCTGGATGAGTCACTGATGATGAAACATTTAGAGGAGAGAAGCTCAGCAGGTTACGATCCGGACGAGACGCAGCTCAGCTCTGCAGCTCTCCCAGTTTCTCTTTAGTTTTGTTTCCTTGGAGCTGATTGAATTTATTTTTGTTTCTCTTTCAATTTTTCATCACGATTGCTGCCCCGACCTTTCTCCTGCCACTTCCTTTTTTCGGTGATTTGCCCTTTAGCACAAATCCTCTTGGTAAACTTACTCTTGTGTGGTTAAAAAACTCTTTTCTGATAACTATGGATATAATCTGATGACTGCTTTTAGCTGTAAATGTGCTCCACGTGTTAAACATTTGACTTTATTGTGTGAAAGTTCTTGTTTTTTTGGTTCTTGGAACATGCTATTTCAGTTGTGTGTGAGGTCGACTTTGGCTGACTTCTCAGGAAACACTTTGCTTTGAGAATATGGAAATCCCTCGGCAGCTCCACGCTTCACTCTGAAAACTTTCCCCTGAAACAAAGTAAAGAGAACAAAGGCGGAGCTTGGTTTTGAACATGTTGGGGTCACGTGATGAAGGTGGAAGTGTTACCAGTGTGGTCTGACCACCGCGCTGGAATCACCTAACCCATCTGGAAAATCGTGTGTGGCGTCGTGTTGTCAGAGCTGCTGCTCCGTCAGATCAGAGTTCGTGCCAGCGATCGGTCTCTGTTTATTTTATTTTAGTAGCTTTATCAATAAAGTTGGCCTGGGGTCCGCACACACACAAACCCTCGGGACCCTCGGGACTTTCAGTTTGATTGTACTCCGTGGGTCACCTTGTCTTACAGTATAACCACAGCAGTCCAGTGTAGTGTTGTTTCACCTGTTCCACGATGTGCAGGTAGTAACAGTGCGTGCTCCGGCTTGTGCAGTCTTTAAAGAACAGGATGGAGCCGATCAGCCAGCACACGGCGAGCAGCAGGTCTGCGACGCTGAGCAGCATCAGAGGCTGCAGCTGCACACACACACACACACACACACACACACACACACACACACACACACACACACACACACACACACACACACACACACACACACACACACACACACACAGGGATTACAGCGTGCTGAGAAAGGATTTTAAAAGCTGGACGGAGGACGGAGCGAGGCTAATGTAGATGACCAGCAGGGGGCGACTCCTGGTTGTAGAGGCAAGTCTGATTGGACAGAAGCTTAGGAGAAAACGAGTCTCCTGTTCACCTAAAGACCTTTCTGGTGGGTTTCGCGTCTCACTCAATAAACACGACGGCGGTTTTATGAACCTCATTAGGACTCGAGAAGGGCGGGGCTTCTTTGTGGCTGATCGGGTGTCTTTGTCCTACTTAGAGACTCTTCTGTATAAAACGATGAGTGCGCCCAGCGGTTACGTAATGTTTTCATTCTTATCCACATGAAGGTTAGAAAGCAGAACTGAATGTAAACATGTGAATGACAGTACATCTTTACATCTGAGTGTCCTAAAGTGATGCCTCTGCGCCGGGGAAATCTGACCTCGTTGCAGCGTTGAACAATAGGCACAGTGTCAGCGTTCAGCCCCCTCTCATCACGCCTAGTTTCAAATCAGCGGCTCGGGCTGAGGTTTGGAAAAGAGAACTCGATAACACAAAGGGTGATTTCACAGCGGCCACGTCCAGCTTTTATAAGCACTTCCTCTTAATTATTTTAACTTTAAAGTTCAGACCACAGTTTATCTCACACAGTTTGTGCAAAGCGTCAGAGAACAGAGAAGCGGCTGACCTCGGGCTTCCGGCTGAGTCCCCGTAACATCAGGCAGCAGATGATGGAGCCTGAACCCAGAATGCTGCAAACACAAACACACATGATGAGTGGAACCTCACTGGAAGAGCTCGGTGTTTAATAAAGATGGCGTGAAAGAAAAACAGCTGATTGGAACTGCGCCTGCCTCTATTGTCTGAGCGCTGTGACCTCTGACCCCTCAGGTCTTTCCCACTGGTCCCACACTGGGTAAATGAACCAGCAATAAAAGCCTAATGTGCTCTGACGCAGCCCATTACAAACAAGCCTCTGTACAGGAACGTCCAACAGTCCGGCCGAGACGACGACTCGGATTATTAAAAATGCAGGATTTCAGAGTTTTACAGTAAAAAACAGCGTGTAGGTGTTCAGGTTTTAGACAGTAGCTCTGTGGGTCACCTACTCAGTTTGCCTACGTTACATATCAAAAGGTCAAATGTATGTGTCACTAAAATGTAGTTAGAGTATCTTGACTTTCCCAGTCATGTTTCCAGTTTTACTCCTGATAAAAACAGTAATGATGACAGTTACTGCTGCTGAACTTGACTGAAGTCAAATAAGCTCTAAATTACTCATGAATGGCTTTTCTTTACTTTCCAGCTGTGCCTGTGGAGGATGAAGACACTGACCTGAGCACAGCCATGACGAGCTGGATCCAACTGACCACGACGTACACCTGCAGGGAAACAGGCAGGCGGTCAGCAGGCTGACACACACAGACACACACTGAGGTGTCTGCACACGCGCACACAGACACACACACTGCAAACTTCACATTTCTTCACGATGAAGCACAAACATCAAACGCTCTTTTGTTACTTATTCGAGCTCTTAGAGCTGCGTGACTCTTAAAGCGATTGTGCTTTAATCGATGCTGCAGTGAGTGTTCGTCTCTCGGTGAGGTCAGTTAACATCAGCTGCAGATGTGGGAGTGAAAGTGTTAAAAATAGAGACAAACAAACTGTGGGGGAAACACAAAAAACCCCAGAGGAAGTTCAGAAATTCACTCCGAGAGGAGAAAAAGGAAACCGTTGTAGTCTCATTATTACTTCTTTTTAAGATGTCAGTTTAACCGTCTTACACCGATGAGGGTTGAAATTCAGTTTTCAACACACAAAAAGACCAACAAGATAACGGCGAGTGCGCACAACCCTCAAAGTGCCCGCTGACCGCGGCCTCCTCCTACACAGAATAAAACTAAACACGGTCCAAACATCACAAACTGCAGTTCCTCTGACGTCCAGCAGAGGCTGCAGCAGTGACGTTACCGTGGTAACCTCACTGCTAAGTGTAATTCGCAGATTTATCTGGACGTTAGTGAGCAGCAGTTAGCAGGTGACAGCTTTCAACATTCACGAAAGTCATTTTATCTGAGGCTCTCACACTCCGATGGACGCGTCACATAACTCGGGGAATAGACCCTGTGCACGAGAAAATGCTAACTTCCTGTTTTAAGAATCACCCATCTTTTAAATACAGTCTGTGAGAATACATCAAAGTATAAATATGAATAAAATGTTTTAAGTAAATGTTTATATTTACTTTATATAAATATAATACATATAATATATATTTAATTATGATCAAGATCAATAGACATTTTAAAATAAACAAATCCATGATTATGTACAAGAGAATAAATACATATAAATATGACTCATCATTACTTAATGGAACTCTTCATACAGCGACCCTGTTTCTCATCACTGAGTCTGTCTCTAATGAGTTGTGCACCAAATGAAGAGTGAGAGGAACCCAGTGTGTGTTTATGATGACTGCTTTCTCTGCTTCTGCATTAAACCATCAGGTTATTATTGTTCAGCGGTGAGCGCGAGCACTTCAAAGCTTTTATTGGAAGTGAAATTTGTGAATTTATTTCACTTCCTTCAGTGAGAGATGCTCGATTTAGTGCAGCAGCACAAAAGTACGAGCTGATTGTTTTGCTGGACTTTTGGCAGATGTTGAACTGACGGAGTCTCCGAGTGCAGACGGAACAAACCGAGACTCACCACAGAAAACAAGCCGAACACATCCTGGACGTGGCTCAGAGTAAATCACACTTGGATGGTCTGTTCACACAGAGTAGCAGCGCGGTGTACTGTCCCTTTAAGGCACAGAACGAGCTGCGGCATCACGCGTCTACATCAATATAATCTAAGTATGGAAAACAGCTTATCTTTATTCATGCAGCACCAAATCACGACTGTTGTTGTTTATTGTTATTGTATTGTTGTAGATCCCACAATAACACATAGTTCGAGTTTATTTCCACGTCACACCGTTTATCCAGCCGCATGTAAAGCTGCTGAGCTCGTTAAAGTGCTTGAATGTGCGCAGTGATTCTGAGAGCACAGGAGGTGCTGATCGCGATGAGCTCACCTGCGTCCAGTCCTCGGCTCCGGTGGTGTTTGCTGCTGTGTGGTTGGTCATAATCATCTCGTCTGAAGACATCAGAAACTCTCTGAGCATTTCAGATAATCAAGCTGAAGGTGAGAAGGTCACGTGATCGTGCCTGGTCCTGGAGCGGTCAGCTGAGCCTCCCGTAGGCTGTCGGGACCAGCTTTTATCCTGCGGGATGGCACGGTATCCGCTGACCCCGCCCCCGGGGCTCTGACCACGCCCCCTGCCCGTGAGGGGAATACCCACCTGCCTGACGACGCCGCAGCTTCGCTTTTATTAAATTGAATAAATAATTAAATGAAGACGCAGCAGCTGTGAGTACTTCTACTCCAGTACTTGTGTGATATGCTCAGTATTTTCAGTTACTTATACTTTATGTATTAGCTCAGGACTCCTGAGGGAACTGCTGATCTTTTTCCCTGTCCCGTTTGGATCGTTAGCCATCAGAACTATTCCCTGAAGAAAGATGCCAAGCGGATCATCATGGCCGTGCCATGTTGGTCCATTTGATTGACCTTTATTATAATTATGTATTTATTTTATTCAGGGAGAGTGGTGAGGGGAGATAAGCCTCCATACCTCGGAGAGCCTGAGATGTTCCCAGAGAGGTGGAGTCTAAGACCCAACCTGACATATAGACGAACAGGCGCACGCAGACACAAACATGCATTCCCACCCCCATATACACATAAACAGATCCTCGGCGCTCACCTGACATGGAGACAGACACTCCCCAAACTTTCTCTACATCCCAGGTCCAGGTACTCTCGCCACAAAGGAGCAAACCGTACCTAGACCCAGGAGATGTAACCCTTTTCCCTGAAGTGGAGACAAGCAGACCGCCCCCTTATCTCCATTAGCAGGTAGGCCCCGCATCCCAGACCCCAATCTGACGGCCAGCACCTCCTCCCAGCCCCGACGGTTAACAGAGAACAGGGGTGAGTGAAGACACTGATATGTAGTGTTGCTGCGTGCTGTTCTAAAGTGCATTTAAAACACAGGAGCGCATGGTCAATGCTCCCTCTAAGCTGCGCGCGTGCGCAATTGCGCACTGCTGGCACGTCTCTGCGCACAAAAAAATCCAACCTGAATTGAAACTTAAACTTTAACAATCCTGTTCTGCAGTGTTAGTCAGTGACTGGCTGCTCCCGTATGGGATCAGAACGATGCCACCTCATCCCAAAGTCCAGCCAATGATGCGATTCACATTCGTATATACGCAGCTAATCAACGTCGCTGACAGGCTGTGACAGCGTCCTTATGTGCGACACCGGTGTTTTAGCAAAGCAGCTGATGTGGAGTGAAGCCACGTTAATGACAACGTGTCCAACCATTGGAGATGTGAGCAGGACAGACGGAACAACTGACGGACAAAGTGTGGACTTTATACCAGTTTGTAAATTGTGTTGATCGGCCACGTAAAACCAGAGTTATGATAAAAATATCTGCAGTGTTTGTTTTTCTTCCTGAATACTGTCGTTGTTTATATTTACTGCAGGAAGAAACGGTAAAAACTGCGTTTGATAAGGAAAACGCTCGAAAGCCTGTGAACAAAGACAAACCTCCCCCCAGCCTTTAATGCTGTAATTAGATTATTTTAATAAACATGTAACTTGGATGATTCGATGCTGGCGTGACCACAGTGCACGTCTGCTGTCGCTCACAGTGGTCCGAGTGTCCGCTCAGGGAGTTTGTGTGTTCAGACACGTGAAACATTACAGGGAACGTTGGTCACGGTGCTTCCTGCCAGAGAGCAGCATGGCTCCTCCCCAAACCCTCAGTGTCTATACGTGTTTCAAATTGAGAGGTGGGCACCAGCGCCAGAGGTGGGTTTGAATACACAGACCATCCTCTGGATGCCGTGTAGCGTGCCCAGCCCCAAGACCCTATATGTAGGTGTTATGTGAGAGCGTGAGTAATGTGGATGTCTAGGTTGCGGAATAAAATTGAGGCACAGGCGTCCAGAAGGGGACAGAGGGGGCGTGCCCCACCCTAGTGACACACCTGCACCCCAAGCCCTGCATGTGTGTGGGTGTGGTGGAGCGGGAAGAGGGAGGCACCTGAGGATGGGGAGGGAAGAAAGGAAGGGGAAGTGGCCCCTCCCCGGGGCCAGCTGCCCCGCTGACCCCAGTAGGCACCCCCGCTCCCTGGAGTCCACCAAGGCCAGGGGGCCCAGGCCCATCCGGAGCCCATCTGGGGCACCCGGCAGCGGCACCGCCCAGCCCCACATAACCCCGGGCAGCCCCACCCGACCCCATTGCAGAGAAAACTGCACCCGACCCATCATCCAATCATCTCTCAGACTACACAAGACAATAAACACCCAGGTTGAGCTCATTCTCCACCTCTCCCCCACCAGCAGTGAGCTCCTGGAGAGAGGAGACCTCCTGCAAAGATGTTGCTTATCATTTTTAATATGTACAAAAATAAAATCAAGACGATGAATTTGAATTAAGAACTCAAAGTCCAAGACGTCAAAAATCTGTTAAATAAGGATACAAAAACAAAGGATATATATCCATTTCTGTTAAATACAACTGATGGAATTTGCAAAGCAAACTAATCTGCGTTGTGTTATTAATAATCTTTAATGTTCGAATAATCTTCACTACCCGGGTCGCCACCGTCACAGACACACTCTGACATGATCGGCTCGATTGTGCCACATGTGCTTCTGTACTGTGAGCTGCCCCCTTTTCAAAGATGTTCAACAATGTCTTCAATAATAATTATAAAAACAAAATTGATCTGGGACACACAGCATCTTCCCCCTGGGCCAGCGCACTTTTGGGACGATGAGCCGGGCTGCAGGCCCAATTACCAGCCCACAGGGTTGGCCTGGAATATCCAATCAGAGTCCTTAATGACACAGGCCCCTCCCCTAGTTGCTGTTCCAGCTTGTAGAAAAAAATTATTGTGGAAGAAGTTGAAGAAAAGGTGAAGCTAGAAACAATAAAAAGAAATTAAAAGTAGATGCAGCACCGTGTCGAGTTAACCACGTTAGCTGCTGTTAGCTCCTGCACTGTGAACTGTAGTAACAGGCAGTAACCAGGCCTCCACAAGCTGTGGTGACGTGAGGAAGAGACACAGGAAGTGAAATTAACATGGTAAGTAAATAGATGGGGGACATAATTAAGAGAGAACTAAATAAATATGACTTCAGGAAAAACCCAGTGAACTAAAAATATGCAGAACATCTCCAGATGTGTTGACGCGAGCAGCCTGAAGGCCGTGCTGCAGGTGTCTGACACCTGGAGGCGTCAGTGAGGCTCTGTGAGCAGGTGTTTGGCTTCTTCCAAGCTCACAGCAACAGACACGAGCCAGCGCCTGATGAACAGGAGCCGAGTCAGCAGGATCAGCAGAGCTTTTACTCTGGAAGAGCTTCAGTGGTATTTGTTTGTTTGTGTCTCACTGCCATGAATGATCTATGTTCGTGACATCACTAGATGACCAAAACACATCAGGAGTGGAACAGACCACGCCTCGTCCTAGAATCGTTCGGCGGCGCTTTCACGCGTCGGAGCGTTTAAAGAGCTGAGAGCGGCTTCTTCACGCTGAGCTGTCCTGTTTTGGTGCTTTGGAGCAATCCTGGCCTCCTACTGCTTTGCTACAGAATCGTTTAATTCCGGTGCCATCCAGTGGTACCAGGCCTCTTGGCAAATGCCCAATCTGGTGAAGCTCTCTCTGATGGACCCCCACAGTCCAAAACGGCACGCCAAAAAGAAAAAAAAAACAGTGTGCTTACACATTAAACCCACCCCAACCGGTCGCAGCAGATGGCCCCGCCCCTCCCTGAGGCTGGGCGGTTTCTTCCTGTTCAAAGGGAGTTTTTCCTTCCCAGGTGCTTCGTACTGTAGAGTGAAAACTCTGCATCAGCAGAAACAACCACCAACAATCATATGACCCCCTGTGAGCAGCACTTTGGCGACAGTGGGAAGGAAAAACTCCTTTTTAACAGGAAGAAACCTCCAGCAGAACCAGGCTCAGGGAGGGGCGGGGCCATCTGCTGCAGCCGGTTGGGGTGAGCGAAGATGTAGCTAAGAATCAGAGGTGGTGCTCTGCACACCACCGAACAGCCCAGAGACGGCGGTCGTTTACCCCATAAATGCATTTGATATGTAAATAATAAAATGCACGAACAGTTTGTGAAGGTCTCAGTTTAATGTTTCAGATTATAAACTCTCTCCATGCTGGGACACCTCAGATTCCTGTCTGCTTCCCACAGACTGAACATGGAAACATTTAAACACAGGAAATATCTACAACTCGTGGGAAAATCCCTCATGGGGAAGTGAAAGGTTTGTTGGACGTGACGTAGAAACTCTCACAGGTATTCTCACCTGGCGGAGATTTCAGTTTCATTCATGGACATAATGGTAAATGGCCTGTATTTGTATGACGCTTTACTAGTCCGTAAGGACCCCAAAGCGCTTTACACTATACACAATCATCCACCCATCCACACACTGGTGATGGCAGCTACATTGTAGCCACAGCCACCCTGGGGCGCACTGACAGAGGCGAGGCTGCCGGACACTGGCGCCACCGGGCCCTCTGACCACCACCAGTAGGCAACGGCTGAAGTGTCTTGCCCAAGGACACAACGACCGAGTCTGTCCGAGCCGGGGCTCGAACCGGCAACCTTCCGATTACAAGGCGAACTCCCAACTCTTGAGCCACGATCGCCACATAATCCCACTCATTTAAGCTCCCTGTTACACGTTGTTGTATTTAACTTGAGCTGCTGTAACAAGAGAAGATAAATCATACCCAGCAGCCACTTTATTAGCTACACCTTGCCAGTACAGGACTGGACCCTGTTTCTTCTTCCCAGCATCGACGAGGTTCTGGAAGCATTCCTCAGAGACTCTCCGTGTTGACGTGACACCATCACAGACTTACTGCAGAGCTGTGGACCGCATCCATGACATGTGGTGACTGTGGAGGCGTTTGGAGGACGGTGAACTTGTCACGGACGTGCCAAGAAACCATCACGCCCTCCCGACAGAGAGATCCTGGATGTTGTGGCAGATATTCTGTAGCTCATCTGCTTCAGGGTGTGATGTGCTCAGAGGCGCTCTTCTGCATACCTTTGTTATAATAAGTTATATAAGTTTGGTCATTCTCCTCTGATCTGGGGCACCACCCGAGCAGTTTCTTCCAGAGATCTGTACTCTGTAAACTCAGCAGCTGTACCTAATAAAGTGGGCAGTGAGTGTAGATATAAAACTTCATAGAGTTCATAGAGGCGTACTGCCACCTGCTGGTAGAAAAATATCAGTCGTGTGACGGGAATATTTCTGTTGTTGACATAATTCCACAGATCTTTCCTCAGGATGCGATGAAGTGTTGGAGCGTTCAGCACTCGTCTTTTAGTGTTTCCTGGTTGTAGTGGAGGAATCTGTGGTTCTGCAGGAACACGCAGCTGCTCGAGCTCCGGAAACAAACTCAGGTTCAGGTTCAGGTGAGCTCAGAGGCTTTAAAGACGTGGTGACTTTAAAAGTGTACAAACTGGTCCAGGGACAGTTTTTTAGTTCAGACTCTACAACAGCACGAAGGCCTCTGTGTAGCTGACCTTTGACCTTCGTGTATCAGCTGTTTTACCTCTATAGAAATGAAATCAGAACCAGGGCTGCTGATGTGTAGCACCAAATATTCAACGAGCACTAAAAGTTTGAAAAACCCTTCGTGACCACGCCTCTCGTTTGAAACACGTGACCTCCAAATGAGAAGCTGTCAGCAAAGTTCAGGGGTCACATCCGGACACGCGTCTGTGGTTCAGGCACCAAAAGCACTTTGGTTAAAGGGTCAGTGTGGTCCAATCAGCCGGCCGGATCGTGGACCGGTGGCTCGTTTGGAGGCAGAGATTCGTTCTGTTACTTGGGATGCTGTTAGCCTAGCTTAGCATACAGGCTGAAGGCTCATGCTTCTTCCTGTTTCTTCACTGCGTCCACGACAGGAATGTAATGACAGCTGCAACAGGAAGTGAGCTGAGGCGGGGCTAACAGCATCTCAGAACCTTTCCTTTAACGCAGATTTAACTGAGCGCGTCCTCTGAAGTCCTTCTAATATCTGAGGCTGAACTCACACTGGTTTCACTGGTTACTCGCTGACTTTTGTCCACACTGGTTTTCCCAGCACGGGCCTCCCTCTCTCACCGCTTTCAGAGACTCTCATTGGTCGAGGAGGTCCCGGCCTCCCTCAGCCCGGCTGGCTGCAGCTCGTGCTTCTTCATGTGCTTCCTGAAGACTCGGGCTCCGCTCAGGTTCTTCTGGCAGATGTCGCAGAAGTACGGCCGAGCCTCCGAGTGCACGTCCACGTGGTAGGTGAGCTCGAGGGCGCGGCTGAAGCTCTTGCTGCACAGCGGGCACTGGTAGCGGACGCCCGAGTGCGTCAGCTGGTGCTCTTTGAGCGAGCTGCGCTGCTTGAAGGTCTTGGGACAGATGGGGCACTGATACGGCCGGGCGTCGGTGTGCAGACGCTGGTGCCGGCGCAGCGCGCTGGAGAAGGTGAAGCTCTTGCTGCAGATGCTGCAGGTGTAGGGTCTCTCTCCCGTGTGGATCCTCTGGTGCTCTGTCATGTGCACGTGCTGGATGAAGCTCTTCCTGCAGGTGGGGCACTGAAAGGGACGCTCGCCCGAGTGGATCCGCAGGTGCTTCTGCAGCGCCGACGCTTTGAAACAGTCGCGCCCGCAGACGGGGCAGCAGTGCCGTGATTTCCCATCAGCCCCACTGTCGGCCTGTGGATTCAAGGGTCCGCGAGGACTTGTGGGCCCATCGCGATCTAAGGATCCATCAGGGTGTAAAGGTACATCAGGAACTGTGGGCCCGTCAGGGTCTGTGGATCCGTCAGGGTCTGTGGGCCCGTCAGGGTCTGTGGGCCCGTCAGGGTCTGTCAGAGACATCAGAGAGAACTCAGAGGAACACCGACTGCTGCTGAGGAGAGTGCCTGCAGGCTTTATGAGGGCAGTCAGCGTTTCAGGGTCAAACATGCAGCCATCCAATCATCATTTAGAAAAAAACCAAACTGCCGCTGCCCTCACAGAGCCAGTCGGGAACAATCAATAACTAATTAGTTAAAGATGAAGACTCACTGCCGCGCGCTGGCCTCCAGTCCTCTTCCTCACCATCAGAGTTTATCAGCCCGCTCACGTCTGGCTCTTTATGCTCCTCGCTGTTGCCCCGCCCCTCAGTGGGGCGGGGTTTGTTAACAGAGGGCTCAACTCCGGTGAAAACATCTACGGAGGTCTGTAGAAGTAGACAAAGACAGGAGGAAATCAAACTACAGTTAAATGTTAGCGTGATTATGTCTCCAGATAAATGGAAGTAATTTAAAATCAGTGTGACGTGATGTGAATGGCGAGCACGCGGGTTCACACAGAGGACCGGAGCGTCTGTCGGTGAGGCCTTTCATTTACAGCTGCTGCGTTCTGTGCTGACCTCGCTCTGCACCTCAGACCTGCACACAGGTTCACCTGAGACCAGCTGTTTTCTTACCTGCTCATTCACGCCTTCATCCACCTCCTCCTTCTTCTTCATCCCCAGCTCCACCTTCCCGCCCTCGATCTTCATGTCGAACCAGAACACCTGAAAGATGCACAAAATCTGATCTGAGTGCAGTTTCTATCTCCCGCCTTCAGTCAAACGCACGCTCAGATGAAAGAGGTTTGAAGTCTGGGCGTCACCTTGTCGGCGGGGTCGGCGATGAGCCCGTCCCTGATGTGGGTCCTCATGTGCTGGCGCAGCAGGCAGGGCTTCAGGAAGCTCCGGGGGCAGATGCTGCAGGCGTGCGGCTTGTCGGCCATGTGGGTCTTCCTGTGCACTCGCAGGGTGGCCGCGCTGCTGAGGATCTTCGCGCATACCGGGCAGCGGTGCGGCTTCTCCGAGTCGTGGACCTTGGCGTGCTCCAAGAGAGCCGACATCCCCGGGAAGCTCCTCCCACAGCTGAGGCAGCTGTGGGAGGAGCTTTCCTTCGGAGTATCGGTGCTCCCGTCTGAGGACGAACAGGAAGAGGGAGTGAAGGACGTGCGTAACTCAGCTGTTCATGTCACCTGGTGCCGTATCGTTAAAGCTCGCTTCAGTGTAAACCTGAGCTCCACGGTTCCTTCAGCCTGTTCCCACCCACACAGATTTACCCACTGCCACAGCCCACCCGAGTGACGCTGACCAGTGTGAGAGGAACTTGTTCCACTTTCTAAAACACAACAATAAGCTCAGTCACTTTAAATGTCACATCCTTTTTCTTATTTTGGTCCCTGATGCAGAATTATTCACAATCACCGGACCTGACAACCCTCTGCAAACGTCCTCCACAGCTGTTCAGACCTCACTGCTCTCTCCAAACATCACTCAGTTCATGCCGCACTAAATTCACTCACACAGCTCAGTCTCGATCTCACCACACTGCCTAACGCCCGAGTCCTCGCCAGCTAATCTGCTGTAGGACACGCAGGAGCACGCCAACATCCAACAGCAGCACACCGGCGCCGAGGAAAGGTGTTAGCTGAGATGTGACGGATGTTCAGGGATAACGTTTACACTCTGGAGTCATTCAGGAGAAAAAGCCTCCGTGGATTCTCACAGACTAAAAGGACGGACAGCTAAACTGTGGAGAACATAACGTGTGGCATGAAATGAAAAGCTGCTTTGCCGCAGCGCGAACGGGCCGACCCGTCTGAAACGAGGAGCTGGAGTTTCTCACCGGTCGCCGAGTCTGCGTTCCCGTTCTCCACTTTCATCCCGCTGAGCGATTCACCCGTTTTCTGGAACAGAGCGCAGATCTGAGGTCAGTTTACCTGCATCAGCTGTGAGCAGATTATGAAGCTAACCTGCGGCTCCTACATTTCAAACACGTCCTCCATTGAGGACGTCAAATAATCCTCTTACATTCTGCACTTATTTCCAATTTCTGCATGTTTCTGAAGTCGAGGCTGACTGCTCACCGGCTGGTCTGAAGGCTGTGATTGGTCGTCAGCGGCGGCGGTGCTGCACTCTTCCCTGCCGTGGATCTCCTGATGCTTCCTCAGCACTCTGAGCACAGAGAAGCGCTTCATGCAGACGTCGCACTGGTACGGCCTCTCTCCGGTGTGAGAGCGCATGTGCTCCTTCAGCCGCGACGCTCGGCCGAACTCTCGGCCGCAGACGCCACAGGTGAACTGCTGCGCCCTCTGGTGGAGCTGCCGGTGCTGCAGCAGCTTCTCCACAGACAAGAAGTCCTTCTGACACAGGAAGCAGTGAAGATTCATCTCCCCCTGAGTTTCAGACAGACGGAGAACAACCTGAAGCTTCAACTTTTAGCTCAAACCAACTCACAGCAGCAGCTTTACATCTTTACAAGGAGGAAGACAGAACCAGGCTCGGGAAGAGAAAGCAGAGAATAAACAGAGGTAATGCTGATAATGTCTGTCTGAGTGCAGACGAGACACCCGATATCTCGCCCTCTGTGGCGACACGTTGTGTCTTAAAATAAAGACCTGAGAATCGAATCGCAGACTCGGGGGTCAGAAGGGCGTCGACTACGATAATGAGTCCGACCTGGAGTTGAAGAGACAAAATGATCCCTGAGAGGAACCAGGAGAGCAGAGGGGACCCTGTCCCAGCGCTCTGCTGTCAGGTTAACACCTGGTGTTCAACATCTGGTTCTCCAGCTGTGGGGGGACACGTTACTGTTCGACTTCACTGGGAATTGTCTGATGTTTCCTCAGAGAACGTCAGTCTTCCTTCTCTCTCCCCAACCAATCACAGCAGATGGCCCCGCCCCTCCCTGAGCCTGATTCTGTCCGAGGTTTCTTCCTGTTAAAAGGGAGTTTTTCCTTCCCACTGTCGCCAAAGTGCTGCTCATAGGGGGTCATATGACTGTTGGGTTTTCTCTGTATGTATTGTTGTAGGGTCTACTGTACAATATAAAGAACCTTTGGAGCTTTAAAACTGAATTGGATCGCTGTGAGCTCCACCTCCAAACAGAACTTCGGACTTGGTGTTTCTCCTGTTATCCGTCCGAGTCCTGAATTCTGCTTGACTGGTCCAAATGAATTCCCGCCTCTTTTCCCAGGATTTCAGTGTGAAGTTGGAGGAGGTCAGGGCAAAGCGTGACACTAAGTGAAACTAAGTGAATTTAAGCTTCAGTTCGTTGAGCTTGAACCTGATTTTATTGCTTATGACAGACAGAAACTGCGAGGAGCGGCGCGTGAGCCAGAAACGGCCAATCACAGCGAGCCTCTCGCCTACTTTAAGTCACGACACAAAAGGAAAATGTGACACTTCTAAGGAAACTGTTCACACAGACCAATCCCTCCTTTCACACTCTTCCAGCAGTCATGTGACCACACCTGTGTAACACTCACCTCTCCGTCGACACCTTCGACTTTGACCACCTGGATCTGCTCGGCGTGCTTCTGCAGGTGTTTCCTCAGCAGACCCGGCCTGTTGAAGCTCTTGCCGCACAGCGAGCAGGGGTGCGGCTGCTGCCCCGTGTGCAGCCTCACGTGATCCCTGAAGGACGACGCCGTGGAGAAAACCTTCTCGCAGACGGAGCAGGAGTACAGGTTCTGTCCCGTGTGGGTTTTCTGGTGGTCGACGAGCCCCGTCCTGGAGGCGAAGCTCTTGGGGCACAGCGAGCAGAGGAACGGCCTTTCTCCAGTGTGAGTGCGCTCGTGCTGGACGAGGTGGCGCCGCTGGACGAATCCTCTCCCGCACACCGAGCAGCAGTGGGGTTTCTCTGCGGCGTGGCCGAGCCGGTGACGCCGCAGGCAGCTGAGCTGGGCGTAGCTGACACCGCAGTCGGGGCAGGAATACGGCTTCTCTCCGGTGTGAACCCGCTGGTGGACCGCCACGTTTATCTTCTTTGTGAAGCGTTTGCTGCACAGCGAGCAGCTATACGGCTTCTCGCCCGTGTGGGCGGTCATGTGATCGACCAGGCGGGAGGGACGCGAAAACTCCCGGCCGCATACCGAGCACCGGTGGCGGCGCTTTGACCGGTGAGCGCTGTCTGAAGCCGGTTCATCTGGTACAGAGAGACTCTGCACACCTGGATCGAGCCCCGCCCCTGCAGGACACAAACACATAAATGATCATTAAAATCACGTTTTATTTTATTATTTTTATTTATTTATTTTTTGATGTTGGAGTGTTTATTTTTAAAATCTAACCTTTGACTGTTGAATGAAATGTGAAGATAGTAATGGGTGAGGACAGTGATGAGACCACTGGGATTATCTTAGCATGGATACTTTATACTTATAAAGTAATTATATTAGCACATTTTCCCCAGTGTGTAGAAGAGATAAGCAATGCCTAGTGCTGAAGGTTACAGTCCCGCTGTTCTTTCCCCAACATAACCACTCAGACTGGCCATAATCATTCTCATTTCATATGGCGCAGTCCCAGGCAGTGCCATGTAATTGTACTCGCAAAGAGCCGTGTAATATTATGCACACCCTAGAAAGAATGTATCAGAAGAATATTACACACGCTTTTAAAATGTCCTTTTACAGTAATGACACTGACATTGCTGTGGCAGTTGAAGGGCACACAGTGGGGTTGCATAATCTGCAAACTGGGAGGAATAAAAAAATGTATAAAGATATATTTTAAAGTTTTGTGGGATCAACTTAGTATTTCAAATCCCCATTAAATGAACATAGACTAGTCAGGTGGACACAATGTCTTGCATATTTTTCTATTTGCTATAGAAAAGTAGTAGCTCAATTTTGTTTCCTATTTTCTTTTTTTTTCTTTTTTTTGCCTGTCCCGTTTGGCTCTTTTGCATCAGAATTGTTGTCTAAAGGCGAAGAAAGATGCCCAACGGATTTACTTTACCAAATTGACCATCCCAGCCTTGCCGTAATGGTCTATTTGATTCACCTTTTATTGTTTATTTTATTTTCACTTACTGAATGCGGGACAGACTTGACTGGGGGAAAGAAGGGGAGAAAGAGAAATCACGTTTTAAAGGATTTCAACTTTCAATATGAATCACGTGAAAACCAATCAGAAGAGCAGCGGTAGAGGAGGACGCTGGGCAGACGCTCCTCCTGCAGCCTGTTGCTGATACCTGCAGAGCTGTTGGATCCAGCCTTGGCCTGATATCAGCGCTCCCCCCGTAACTCCGCTCTGACACTAAAATAACCCAACGAGGGTCCCTAACCTTGAGCAGGGAGCTGCTGACAGTCCTCTCCTGTTTCCTCAGGCTCCTCCTTCACTCCATTCATCTCCTCATGCTCTCCTCCTCCTCAGTGTTGATGCGTCTCCTTCAGGCTTCTGAAATAATAATAATAATAATAATTGCATTTATATAGCGCTTTTCGAGACCCTCAAAGCGCTTTACAATCCCACTGTTCATTCACTCTCACATTCACACACTGATGGAGGCAGCTACAGCTGCAGCCACAGCTGCCCTGGGGCAGACTGACAGAGGCTGCCATATCGCACCATCGGCCCCTCTGGCCAACACCAGTAGGCGGTAGGTGAAGAGTCTTGCCCAAGGACACAAGGACCAGGACAGAGAGAGCTGGGGATTGAACCAGCGACCTTCCGGTCCCTGAACCACATTCGCTCCGACCAATAAACAATTGTTCACAAGCTTCCTGCTCACAATGAAAGCACCACAGAGTGTTAGTGTGCAGACGTACCTGAAGCCTGGTTGGTTTCCTCTGAGATGAGCCGCATGAAGCCGCCGTCGCCCGGCTGGAGTGAATCCTCACACTGAGACAGAAGCAAACATTAATCAACCTTAAACGTTCGTCAGCGTCTGCGACACCACTCTGTCCTGATGACACACCGATGAGCCAGCGTGGCACACCATCATCAGGAGTCTTCTCTCATTCCTCTGTCCTTGTGACCTGAAAAGAAGCCTCGGCGCTCCACGCTGACGGATGTTTCACTGATCGGTCGCTTTGAATCAGCTAGATCGATACACCGCAGCCCCGCCTCCTCTCCATTTGCACACAGCATCACTCAGCTTAACTTCATCATCCTCCGGACCTCTCCACGTATCACTGGACGCCTCCTCCCCACAGACCGCTACCCTACTGGGGGCCACTTCTCCAACAGAAGGGAAACAAGGAGAATTTAACCTTTATCTGTTCAAATCATGGTCAGTATGTGCGAGGTGGTCAGGAGGTCCAAAAGTGAGTCTGCAGCCATCTGTGAGACATGGTGGAGGCTCTGTCCTGGTTTCAGCTGCATGTCAGCCAGCATTGGAGAGCTTTGATCAAACTGATCAAGTATGATCATCAGAGTTTGATCCACCATGCAGGAACATCTAGAAACATCTGATTGGCAGCACCTGCCAACGCAGTGAAAGCACATCTGGATAGAAACATGCAGTGGATCGCCACAGGCAGTTTTAGACTCAGATCAATTGTGGGATTAAGTACTGAACAGTCGTGAGCAACGTGATGCTGCCGCACAGTCGACGGCAAAACGACACGGGAAGCCGAGCTCGACTCCGCGGGTACCGCATGCTGCGCTCTGTTGGTCACAGGGAGCTGAGATAAAGAAACACATCGGTGCGTTTGTAAGAACACTGTTATAACATTACAGGACACTGTGCCAGCGCTACAGGACGAAAGAGACTGAACAGAAAATGTGAATGTACCTTTAAGCTTCATGCTATTAAAAAGTCACTTTATAACAAAATAAATACAAACCAACAAAAATATCTTTCATACAAAAAGTAAACTTTGTTCAAATGTGTATTGTCCACATGAACAGTATGTTTGAAATCCATTTGTACGTTTTATTTTTAAATGTTCAATTAATTTTGTTTGTGCTCCAAATAAATTAGAAATTGCCCTCTTCTCTTGTTCTGTGCCCCACCTGAGCCCCAGGTGTGGGACCGTCACTGTGGAACACCATAAGTCATGGATGGGCCTCCCCAGAGCCCGGACCCCTGAAGCAGTGTGGGATCATCCTGACAGGGAACAGAACAACCGGCAGAAACATCCAAAGCAGCAGGCTGGAGAGCTGCTGGAGGAAGCTGCCCGAGTGGTTCAGTGTTTGCACATATTTCACGTTTTCATCACAGAACATAAAGAAATGAGAGGTGGCTCAAGACTTTTGCACAGCGCTGTGTGTCTTTGTCTGCTCTCACTGTCTGTTTCTTCTTCCTTTACCGCACGGTGAGCATTAAAGTGTGTGTTCGGAGCTTCCTGATCACACAGACAGCAGCTCGGAGCTCACGCTGATGGTTTTTGGTGCTTTAACTCGGAGCATCAAACGGACAGCCAGCTAGCCCATCAGCTAGCCTAGGAGCTAGCCCGCTATGTTAACGTAAAGCGTTCAGAGAGAAGCCCGGAGCTTCAAACACACTCGTCCGTACAGAATGGGCAAAGAAACGCCCGAAAAAGGATCTAAACCCGACGGTGTTACAGGAGCATCCCTGACAGCAGAGCGGCTGATGCTTAGCTGTGAGTGCGGCTAGCGCATGCTAACGCTAATTAGCTGTGATGGAGGCGGAGCGCCGGTTTAAAGGCTTCACAGCCGCCTTTGGCGAGCTAACCTGCAGGTGTACGGATGGAGCTCTCACCTGTCTGTCAGCAGCACTCACACCGACTCCAGGAGAACTGAAAACCGGAGAATGTTTTTAAAAAAAAATGAAGAGCCAGACAGCAGGTGAGTCCCAACTGAACCCAACAGTGCTGCCGCCGCTGGCCGGAAGGTGAACTACAACAACACTGCAGCGAGAGGCGGGCGCACACTTGAGGTGACACAAAAGGAGCCAGATGTTTCCATCTACGTCATCATACTTCACCTCAGCCTCACCAACATCTGCAGCAGCTTCACAGTCACCTGTGAACTCTGCGGGTGAGACTGCAACAACCTGGAGGTTACTCACCTGGAACTCATGGACAGGTTATCACACAGGTCAAGCCAAGGCCTTTATTTTATTCTTCCTCCCACATGAAGGCAAACTGAATATTTGAGCTTATTCATCTCTTCATCAAATATGCAACACGGTGGCGAGGCTGCCTCTGTGAAAGGCGGCGCTGCCTGTTTTTTAGGGACTTCCCTCTGAAATGTGACCTCGACACGTCCTGTAAACAAACACCAACTCAAACTGAAGTGACGACAACAACAACAGTGTGGGTTTTTTTTAGGATGAACAGGAAGTGTCTTTAATTCTGGACACTGACAGCAGATCATCACAAACATGGAGCTGAGTGAAGCTCAGGACCGTCGCCGCCGCTGGCAGGAGGTCACCACACACACCTTGCACCCCTCCCCCCACAGTCAGTCTACTGCTTCTTCTTCACCACGTGAGCGCAGTCATATTTGCCCCGCACCACGGTGAGTTTGACCCCGGGCAAGTCCTGTGTCCGACCCCCCTGCACAAGCACCACGTTGTGCTCCTGCAGGTTGTGCCCCTCCCCGGGAATGAACACCACCGCCTCCTTCCCGTTGGACAGCCGCACGCGGGCGCACTTCCTGTTGGCGGAGTTGGGCTTCTTGGGCTTTCGGATCATCGTCTTCAGGATGACCGCCTTCAGCTGGGGGCGGCCAAACGTGGCTCCAACGGCTTTGGGAGGGACTTTGGGCTTCCCTTGGCGATGCATCTGGTTGAGCGTGGCCATGGTCCTGGACAGGAGGGGGGCGGTCCATGCAGAGGCGTGCTGGGACGCTGCAGAGGGAGGGGTTTATGGTTAAACACTGAAATAAAGTCGGCGCTTGTTCACCTGATGTCTGACACACACCTTGAATCAGCGACGTCAGTGCCGGTCTCAGACTCCACAGAGACACCATTCCTGAAACATCAGACGAGAACATCTGTCAGGAGACCGTCAACCATCAGCTGACACGCCCACATCAAACACTATTATACTATTATACTATACTGAAACATTATTTCAGGTTGGTATTTTGGGCTGGGTCACCTGACCCCTCAGCGGGTTGCATCTTTTAACGTCAGCTCCGCCCAAACTTTTCATCAGCACTTTAAAATCAAACGTTTGCGACGCGTTTGGGACGACTCGTCACAGGACTCTGGCATTTATTCAGGAAACAGAGCGGTCCTCGTCTTTGTCCATCAGACGAGCGTCGGCGCAAAGCTCGGCTTGTGTCTCGTGTTATAAATCAAACAGCTCACTGACAGCTGGACTCGCTCATCGGCTGTGAAACTTTACTTCCTCCCTGCGAGGTCAGTTTGGCTGTTATTACACGTCAGCACCTGTAACAGTACAAAAACATAAAACTGCAGCTCTGCAGCTGTTAGACTGCACGTGAAACACGTTGTGTATAAAGGCTCATTTGCATCATGGAGCCCTGCTCTCTAGAACTGACTGTGTGTGAAGCTGGATTTAAGAAATAGTGCTTTATAAAGTTTTTAACAGCATGTTTACAGCCATCTCGTTTCAGTACAGGTGGTGTTGGTTGGTCACAGCTACAACAGTTTCTCTAACTGACCTCAGGTCAGCAGGAAGTGTGTGCCAAGAACAGCACCACAGTAACTAGAAGCATCCTCAGCTCTGAGATCTGATCTGGGCACAAAGACCAGCAGCTGGTGGCCGACAGGTGTGTCCGGGTTCTGGTGGCGTACTCGGAGAACAAGCCGCTGAGAGCTTTGAGCTGATGGAAACCATTTTAAAAGGTGACTGTGCAGGACTGGGAGCCAGTGACGTGTTACCATAATCTAACCTGCTCGATATGAAACATGAATTCATCTGATTACAAAGAAGCTGAAAAGAAACTAAAAGGTTCGTCTTGGCAGCAGGACACGAGCTTTCCGCGGCTTCTCTAGAATTACTGCAGATTAAACCTTTGTTTTTACGCGCGAGCACGCAGCAGCTCTCGGTGGGTCCTCGTGCACGCGTCAGCGTTTAACGTCTGTTAAACTCACGAGAACTGAACGCGTGCAGTTGTTCCACTAAACCTGGGGTGGGCAACTCCAGGCTCGGGGCCGGTGTCCTTGAACCAACACAGCTGATTTAAAGGCTAAATTAGCTCCTGCAGTTCTCCAGAGGTTCTCCTAATCATGTGGTTCAGGTGTGTTGACCCAGGGTGCGATCTAAAACCTGCAGGACACCGGCCCTCGGGGCCTGGAGTTGCCCACCCCTGCACTAAACTCCTGTGGAAGGAGCACACCTGTGCACGCGCTGATGTTTATACGTAGACAGCGTGGCTAACGCTTAACATCGGCTAGCTTCAGGACACACGCGCACACACACAGGGGTTACCGGAAGTTTGCTCGCTCCACGCACACCTGCTGAGAGTCCCGGACAAACAGCCTCCGCGCCGGCGGAAGGAATCGGAACTCTGACCGGTCAAAGTATTGACGGCATTCCAGTGAAATCTATCAAGGACGTCGCGGCACGAGCACCACGACCTCTCAACAACCCGGAAATCCTTCCGCTGTCAGTGCGGCCTCCACTGGCGCATTACTGCCCCCTGCAGGACGAAATATGGCCTGCATTTGTATAGCGCTTTACTCGGTCCCTAAGGACCCCAAAGCGCTTTACACTACATCCACCCATTCACACACTGGCAATGGCAGCTACATTGTAGCCACAGCTGCCCTGGGGCGCACTGACAGAGGCGCCCCAGGACCAGCGGACGGGGTCACTTCGCGTTTCTCCTGATTTCTTCTTCTTCCTCCTGCCGTCCATCCATGAACCTCCTGAGCTCCTCTTCTCCTCCCTCCTCCGCACATGCTCAGACCTTCACAGCAGGCCTCACCTCGGTCTTTAAACCTTCCTTTTCACTCGTGCCGCTCTCCTGTCAGAAATCACGACTCATCTCCTCGCAGCTTCTCTGTACGTTTTCATTGTATTCTACAGTTTGTAATAAACGTCATCGTCACCAACACTTTATTTAAACACTTATTTAAATGTGTTTTTTCCTGCTTATCATTGTGTATTATTCTGTTTTTATTGCATTTGGCTCTGTTATCAGTTCAGGAGTACAGGTGGCGCACTTTGGTTTCAGACTCTGTAATTACTCTGCAATGGGGTTTTCAGCCAGAGCCGATTCAAGAAGGTCAGCTCAAGTCCTGATAAGTGGCTGAGGCTCCAAGGTTTCGTGCTTCACACATGTCAGCTGATCTCTATCAGACACGGTTACACATTAACCAGGTGGTCCACAGGTGTGCAGGACAGGTAAAGCAGCTACAGCCTCGCTCCGAGCTGCAGTCAGTCGGAGTGAAGATGAAGATGAGGCCGCAGCTGCTCCTGGTTCTGACGGCGGTCGTCTGCGCTGCCGCCAAGCCTCTGAGCAAGGCGGCGATGACGAGTAACAAGCTGCTGCTGATCTCCTTCGACGGCTTCAGGTGGGACTACGACCAGGACGTGGACACGCCGAACCTGGACCAGCTGGCTGCGGACGGGGTCAAGGCCAAATACATCACCCCTCCGATGCTGACCATGACCTCGCCGTCCCACTTCACCACCATCACCGGTAACCATGACAACTTCATTTTAATATCAATTTAGTTTCAAAGTTGCAGCAGTCACAGCCAGTACTGCATTAGGAATACTGCATGCGCTGGAAAGTACACACACTGTACAAGTACAAATATTAAATACCTGAAAGTACTTAATATTTGTACAAGACAATACAGTACAACTTTGTATAGCACATTTAAAACCAGCAGTACACCAACGTGCTTTACAGTAACACAATCATTTATAGAAAGGCAACATTTACAGGGAATAAATACACCAACAGGTGGAGAGCACTAATCAGCCACAGCGCAGTGAAAATATGTAAAAGAAAATACAAACAACTCGACTATTCAACAACAAAATGAAATTTAAATGATTAAAACTACATAAAGAACATTTGCAGGATACAGACACTAACTAGGGAAGGCTGGGTTGAATAAAAAGGTTTTCAATCGCGATTTCAAAGATTGGACTGATTCAGACTCACGAATAGCAGTAAGAAGGTCATTCCAGAGTTTGGCTGCAGCTGTGGCAACAGCACGATCACCTCTGGTCTCCAACCGTGCCCTTGGTTCCCCCAAGAGATCTCAGTGCTCTACTAGGAGTGTACAGGCTGAGAAGTTCAACAAGATAGCTGGGAGCAATGTGGTGTGTAACTTTAAAGGTAAGCAATAGTATTTTAAAATCAATACGGTATTTGATAGGAAGCCAGTGCAGGTCAGTGAGGATAAGAGTGAGAGACTCAAACCTGCCAGTTCCAGTTTGTACAGGAGCAACAAAACTCGAACGGAGTCTCATGATGCAGCTGAAATCTGTCTGATCAACATGAACGGAAATATATTTGTGTCCTTTTGTATTTATACCTCTGTCTTTATCTACTAATATCTGTTTCTGCACTTTACATGAGTGCTGGATTAGGGCTGGGTTTTTATAATCGATTCATCGATTAAAATCGATTCTGGCTTGGATAACGTAAAATCGATTCATTAAAATCCTGAATCGATTTTTAAATATAAATTTATTTTTCCTGAAATGCCAGAATCTCTGGTGAAACCTCACAAAATTTCAACAACCACCAAACAGCTAAAACAGTAAATGAGAGCAGGAACACAAAGACGTAAACACACAGCATGGACCCGCGGATCAGAATCAGTGAGATGTGACTTTCTCACGGTCGGGGCTGGAAGCCGACAGCTCGCTGACTCTGATCTGTCGGCGCTTTGTGTTCACGTCCTTTATGAGCCGATTCTAAAGCTGTTAGTTTGATGTCTCTCCAAACAATATTGACCGAACCAGCAGCAGAAGAAGATCCAAACTACGCTTCACATGAACATCGTCATGATTCACTCTTTCACTGTTTTGCTTCCACCCCGATGCACAGCTCTCTCTCCCTCTCCCTCTCTCTCCCTCCCTCTCTCTCTCCCTCTCTCTCTCCCTCTCTCTCTCTCTCCCTCTCTCTCCCCCTCTCTCTCTCTCCCACTCTCTCCCTCCCTCTCTCTCTCTCTCCCTCTCTCTCTCCCTCCCTCTCTCTCTCTCTCTCTCTCTCTCCCCTCTCTCTCTCTCCCCCTCTCTCCCTCCCTCTCTCTCTCTCCCTCTCTCTCCCTCCCTCTCTCTCTCTCTCCCTCTCTCTCTCCCCCTCTCTCTCTCCCTGTCTCTCTCTCCCTCTCTCTCTCTCTCTCCCTCCCTCTCTCTCTGTTTTCTTCATTATTCGCTTGCTTGTTATGCACCAGTCTACTGTTGTTTACAGGCTGTCGGCCGCTGTTTTTTCCCTTTTACATTCTTCTGAAAAGAAAACCTCATTTCTGCTGTTCAATACTGAACAAATGTAAACTTTTTAAAATTATTCAAAATGCAAAACGCCGTGTCTCTAATAAAACCGCTGTAACTTCAGATTACAATCATGTGTTGATTAATGGTTTTCTTTCGTTTTTGATCTACTGCAGAATATTTTTATAAAATCCCAGAACAGGAAAATCTCCTTCATGTTTTTCTGTTTTATCTTCAGCTACTTTGACACAAAGGCCTCTGCTGTGATGCTCACACCTGTGATAAAGTCTCGAAAGTGTCAGCTTCCTTTTTATTGATACAGAAATATGTAAATGTGCTGATCTGAATTATATTTCTGACTGTCAAAATTTCCCAGATTCAAATCGAATCGTGGATCGAATCGATTCGGGACCTTGTGAATCGGAATTGAATCGATTCTAGAAATCAGTGACGATACCCAGCCCTATGCTGGATGTTTGTAGGTATGAAAACTCAGTTTCCCCCTGGGATTAATAAAGTCTCTCTGATTCGGAAAAATCTGGGAGAGATGTTCCAGAAAAAAAATCAATATCTTAAATGTTATAATTTACAAACTGCGAGAGCCGTTTGCTTTAGCTGCTTTACAACTATTTTAAGGCTTTTTGAAAATATTAATTAATTTCTGTGACCAAGACATTAAAACAACGAGACCGGAGCAGCAAAGAACAGGTTGTGCAGACGTGGTGCTAAAAACAGCTGGATAGGAGCCACACACAGTAGAGTCGGGCTGATAACCGGCCTCAGCTGGACTGTGATCATCAGGATCAGCGAGTTGGAGCAGACACGCTCCTCCATAACATGTCAGTTTACTGCTGATGTATCAGTACGTGCTGCTGATAATACGCCTCTGAGTGCAGCTTTAATCTGTAATATACATGATTTAAAAACTGCTTTCACAGGCACTATCAGACGGGTTAGCTGTCATGTATGTGAGCAGTTTGATTTATAATGCATCAAATCAGTGACCTCAGATTAGGTCCATGTAGTTAAGGAAGCCAGAGAGATAAGCTGTGACGGTGCTGCTGGGAAATAAACCCGTCTGAGACCAGAGTCCAGCGACTGCTGCTCCGGGGACAGGTTTAATCTGAGCCGAGGGTCACGGACACGCGACGATGATGTTAACCAGCTGCTGACGCCGCCACACTTTCTGACATTCAACTTGAACCTTTTGCAGACTGTGTGTGACGCCCATCCCACGGTCTGGTCTGTTAGCTGTGCCTGGAGGACAGCCTGTGATGATGGGAGGAACATTCGCTAATGCATCTCCCTCGTGGCCTTTCAGCCAATAAAAGCTTCCTTATTGGTTTAGTTGGTGATACCTGCTGATTCAGCCTGCACAGTGTAGATCGGCTGTGCAGCACAAACATCTCTGCTTGCTTTGCTGCTTGTCCAGGATTCAAGCCTGTGACCTCATGCATTTATGTCTCAGAAGTTGCACATAGAGTAAAACACAGATGTGTGCAAATCCCTCCAGACAATCTGTAGATTATTTACCTCCTTACCTGTGGGGAAAGAAAGCGAAGGCCATGCACAACCTAAAATCTGGCTCAGCTTCTGTCGGCGTTTCACATCGTCTCCAACTCCTAAATAAAAAGATCACTAATATCCGACCTCTGATAGTCCCTCTCAAATAAAGGATCTTACTTTCTGTCTGCTTTCAGTTTCCAGAGCGGTGCAGTGAAATGTGCTAAAACCTTCCTGTGTGTTCGTTAGGCCGATGGGTGGAGGATCATGAAGTCGTCCATAACTTGATGTTCAACCAAGAGACGAACCTGAAAGTTCCTCACAAAGAGACGCTGAAAAGATCGGAGTGGTGGGACAACGGAGCTCTGCCGCTGTGGATCACCGCTCAGAACCAGGTGAGTCGGGGTGAAGGATGAGCTGCACTGACACAGGAGGACACTGTGGTTATTTTACCAAACACGCAGGAGAGCACCAGATGTAGAAAGTAGACCACATCTAAAGGTGCGATTTCTATGTTTGTCTAATTCGAGGAAAAGTTGGATTCTTCAGGAACATCACTGATAAAAAACGGGAAACCAAGCTGGATGAAATCTGGCTGCTTCCTGTGAACGCGAGAGTGCTTCCAACTAGGGCTGGGCCATATTATACCGTTCACGGTAATACCGGTATAATGTTAGGCAACGATAGGAAAATGAAATATCGCGATAGAATGGGAGTAAAACGCGCATGCGCAGTGCCTTTGTTTTCATACGCACATGGCCGATTGTTGAGTGAAACAGATGAACCAGAACTGGTTTGTAAAAATGGTGCAACTTCCGTGATGTGGAACTGGTTTGGTGTTTGTCCGTCAGATACACGACAAAGCACATTTTTTTGCAGAACATGCAAGCGGCCGTCGTTATTGTCGTATTTGTCGGACTAAGATGCTCTTAAATCTGGGAGTAATCTGGGTCCTAAACTCCGTATACTTCAGGTCAAACAACACTGCAGCATCACTGAGCGTTAAAAACTGTCTAAATTCTTTCATCTTTAATAAAACGATCAGCATTGCTGCTTTACCAGGTGTAACTATAAAGTTTAACTTCCAGGCATCCATGAAAACAAAAGTTATTACATTTAACGGAGTTAGAAGTTAGCAGGAAGCTAGCGGAAGTTAGCTCGCTAGTTTCGCTAGTTACCTAAGCATGATATAGCATGTTCTGACTGAGAGATTTCTGAAAAAAATCAAACGTACAGCTCTGCTATCACTTCCAACATAAATGAAGACAGGAAACTAAACAGCAGTGACGTTTGTAGGGTTACTGAAGTTGGGCTAGCTGCTATATAATGATGTGCTACGTGACCGCTAGCGACACAGCTATGTTAGCATAAACAGTGAAGCTGGAGGACGAACACTAACACTTTTCCACTTATAAAAGTTAACGTGATGGTTCCTCATGGTTAGAGACAAATGCAATCGCATGGCAGGATGCTGTAAACGGACCAAACTTCAGTCAGGAGAACAACTGAGATAATCCATCCACAATACGAGGTTAGTCATTAATATACTGCAACAACATGGGAATAGAGCAGCTGTGCGAGAATTCAACATTAATGAATCAATGGTACAGAAGTGGAGGAAGCAAGAAGAATGAGTTTAATAAAGTTTGATTTATCTGACTGCTTTGTTTCGCTTAATGTGCCTTATAATCCCGTGCACCTTATGGTCCGAAAAATACGTACTGCACACTGCAGTTTAATGTTGCAAAGCACCTCTTTTTAACTTCAGTGGATATTATACATGGTTATGCTCAGGATATGTCAGCCCATTTCTACTGGAAATGCCTTTTGGTTAAACTTTCAGCAAGGAATTTGCATTTGCACTGTTACATTTTTATAAAGCTTTAATGTACATAAAAACCAGCTTCTTGTTTAAGTGAAAATAAATGGAAGGTTGTCTTTTTGCGCTAGTAATGTTGTGGAGTTGTATTTTGTCTCGCATCAATTATATCGTCAGTTATATCGTTATCGCAAATTTTCAAATATATATCGTGATAAATATTTTTGGCCATATCGCCCTGCTCTACTTCCAACACTTCTGGGCTGTTTGCAGCCATAACATGATCACAGAGCAGGAGTGCGATGTGGTGCTTACCATTCTGTTCAACTATTCTAATTTCAGGGTCTGAAAACAGCTTCCTTCTCCTTCCCCGGAGGCGGAGCCAACTACAGTGGCCAAGGGGTCAATCGAGTGCTACTGGAGGAGTCCGGCCACCCCGACGACAATGAGACCGAGTGGCGTCAGAAGATCGACACGGTGATGAGCTGGTTCTCCGAGGAGGACTTCCACCTGGTGACGCTGTACTACGGCGAGCCAGACAACGTGGGCCACGCCAAAGGGCCGGACACGCCGGACCGGAAAGAGATCATCCGTCAGATCGACCGCACCATCGGCTACTTGAAGGACGCTATCGATCGCCACAACCTGACCGACGGGCTGAATGTCATCATCACCTCTGACCACGGCATGACCACAGTAAAGAAGAAGCCGCAGGTAGACGAGGTCATCCTCAACAAATACCTGAATTTATTCGAGGTCGCTAAATTTGAAATTCTCGACTACGGTGGGTTTGGCATCCTGACGCCACGTCCGGGGAAGGAGCAGGAAGTTTTTGACGCCCTCTCCAACGTGCCCAATATCACGGTGTACAAGAAAAACGAGATTCCAGAAAGCTTCCATCTCGCCAAAAGTGAGCGTCTGCCTCCCATCGTGATCATCGCAGATCTGGGATTCAACCTGAACTCTGTAAGTACCCCAACGTTTTACCTCCAAGAACCAAGAGCAAAATTCAACAAATCTAGAGAACGTATATCGACTTCATATCGTTTCACACCAGAGATTCATCGTCTACGTGAATAAAGGTGACCACGGCTTCCATAACACTGAGATGGACATGAAGACCATCTTCAGGGCCTTCGGCCCGAGCTTCAAGAGGAGCTACCTGTCCGAGCCATTCGACAGCATCCACATCTACCCTCTGATGTGCAAACTGCTGCAGATCCAACCAGCGCCGCACAACGGGTCCCTGAGCGTGACCGAGGACATGCTGCTCCCCACCACCACGGCCAAGCCTTCGCTCACAACGCCGCAAGGCTCTTTTACCACAGGTGCGTTGCCCTCGTCTGACGCTCTTCTAGAGTAGCGGTCTGTTATCCAAGGTTCAGGTAGACTCGTCTTTTAAGTCTGGCTTGAGTTCAGGGTCAGTTCACGTTCTCGCAGATCAACTCGCCACCTCACAACTTTTGAAGATGAAATAAATCATTTCATCTATAAAAAGGTAGAATTCTGTACATTGCTTACAGACCTGTCATAAGTCCGTATCATTTGGTGCCATTGGTCGTCAGGCATTCACATTAAAAACTCTGGCTCCGCCCACTGCTCATCATCACTGATACAAGATGCTGAACCTACAGCCAGCTTTTGAAGGCGTCTCCAGTCCAATCAAAGAATTATTTCATATCATAAGTGAGAGTTTAATAAGACCAGGTAAAAACTAGCCTAGCTTAGCTTTCAGCTCTGAGTGCAGATCATGTGACGTGCACGTTAACCACGACGCTCCTTTCCTTTCCAGCTGGATCGCAGGGAGCTCGGCTGTCCGTGGCTCTGCTGCTGGCCATGCTGCTGTCCATGTTCGCCGTGCTGTAACTGGTCCAGGATCAGTTTGACCTACAGCTGGAGTCAGCGGTTTCCTCATTTACTTTCACTCTGAATGTTGTAACGTTTGCTTCTCCAATAAACATGAACAACGTGAACATTTTTAAAGGCTTATTTTCTGTTTCCTTTTTAACATGTTGTGTTTCACCTGATGTTCCTCTCGGAGGCGTTTCCGTTCGGTCAGACTGAACGCTGGTTGGACATTTTATCAGGTTGTGTCTGATACTGTGAGGACTGCGGGAGCCTCTGGTGGATGTGGAAGGAAATGCAGCTTTTGCATCAAATCTCTTTATTGTCAAATTGTTGAAATAAATCCATCAGAGATCAGCAGCGACTCCTGAAATGATGGAGACGACTAGAGAGGTCACGTGACTCGCTGTGATCGTCGCCACCAAACTGATTTATTAAACTTTACAAAGAAACTACGACAACAGCAGCTGTGACGTCATTCATTTTTCTGCTGTAGGCAACCAGGTGCTGTACAGAGACCGCGCACGCACACACGCGCACGCACACACACACGCACACACACACACACACACGCACACACACACGCACACACACACACACGCACACACACACGCACACACACACACACACACACCCTAAATCAGCATGATGGGTTAAATTAAAACGTGTCGGCGCTTCGCCCGTTTCACGAACACTGAAACAAAAGTTCAAACCATGAAATTAAAATTTCTGACGACATCCGTCCGGAGACTCAGGCGGCTGTTTTTTTTCCTCCTTTCTTTTTCAGCCAATCACAGGCCGCCCGAGTTAAAAACACAAAAACGGCAGCAGAAGAAACCTGCGGAAGCCGTTTCCAGAAGTGGAGTCTCATGTTTCACCTTAAAACGATGAGAAAATAAAACGTTCGCCTCGTCCGAGACAACGCAGAGTCAGAAGTACGGCACGCTCAGGTGAAGCCCGATTGGTCCCCCCGTGACCTTTCGCCTCCCTCAGAGCACGCGGAGGAGCTGCAGCGCCCCCGCCTCACCCTCCTGCCCCGGGCGGTGGATCATAGCGACGTCTCGGCGTTCACGACTCTTTGCCCGTCCTCGTTCTCCACGTTTATCCGGACGCTCGGCAGCTTGTCGTGGCTGAAAGAGAACAGAAACTTTACTGGCACCAGAGTCAGACACGTCTTACAGACACGTTAAATTACTTCCACTTCCTGTAGTTTGGGGCTGTTCTGAGATCTGATTGTGCTCACAGCACAGGTGTGGCAGCAGCAGGTGGAGTGACGTCTCTGAGGTTTGGTTTGTGGCTCTGGGAGGAAGCTCGTCTCCGCTGTTCTGACCGAGCTGTCAGCGACTCGTTTTCATGTGTTTGAAGTTTATAATGAAAACTAAAAATAATCTGACATAAAGACCCTGAACGTGAAAATTAACAAAAAGTGGAAAACAGAAATCTTTGTCTACGTGGAAAAAAAAATCATCTTCATGGAAACAGAGAGCAGGGACATGAATAAGCCGTGTTTATCGTGTCTAAAACATCCAGCCTGAAAACATCACAATTGCATTTTTTTTTCTTACTCCACATCGTCCAGCCCTCCACAGCACAGACACGCCTGCCAGCGGTCACTTTTAATGGTTACAGGACTGCTGTTTATGTCTGACGTCATCAGTCGTGTCCGGGTCCAGAGTCAAACAACACAGAGCTAAAAACTGTCTAAATTCTTTCATCTTTACTAAAATGATCAGCGTTGCTGCTTTACCAGGTGTAACAATTACGTTTAACATCCATGAAAACAGGATTTATTAAATTTAAAGGAGTTACAAGTTAACAGGAAGTTACCTAAGCATGATATAGCATGTTCTGACTGAGAGATTTCTGAAACAATTCAAACGTACAGCTCTGTTATCACTTCCAGCATAAATGAAGACAGAAAGCTAAACAGCAGTGACGTTTGTAGGGTTACTGAAGTTGGGCTAGCTGGTATATAATGATGTGCTACGTGATTGCTAGCGACACAGCTATGTTAGCATAAACACAGTGAAGCTGGAGGATGAACGTTAGCTTTTTTCCACTTATAAAAGTTAACGTGAAGGTTCCTCATGGTTAGAGACAAATGCAATCGCATGGCAGGATGCTGTAAACAGACCAAACTTCAGTCAGGAGAACAACTGAGATTATTCATCCACAATACGAGGTTAGTCATTAATGTACTGCTGCTGGGCTGGAGTTACATCGTGAGGTTTAAACACTAAGCTTTAAAACGATTAGCGGTAATGAACCGAGAGAGGCCGACACTGATCACTGTTTTTAGGGGCTTGTTGAGATTAAATACATACAAAATATTCGAACATGTTAAAAACACAACAGCCTTATTAAACGCAGAAGCAGGGTTCATACGTCATCACTTAAGGACATAAACACAGTGCAGAGAGAGCCAATCACAGAGCATCGCAGGTGATGTCGCTGGTGGTGAGGCAGGCGTACCTGAAGGTGCGCCTCAGAGCTTTGCTGCTGTCGGAGTTTTTGGAAACAGACTTCCAGATGCCGCTTTTGGCCATTTCATCAGAGATGTTCACCTCTGACGGGTCGCTGCTGAGTCAAACACACACACGTTAGCCTCTGCTGCAGAGTGCGCGCAGCCGTCAGCGTGCCTGAGTTCAGACCCACCGCTTTTTCAGGTTTTTGATGGGGAAATTGAGGACTCCTCCTCTGTCGTACGGCAGCTCCTCCTCCACCTCCTCCAGCATCCGCCGAGCGTCCTGGACACACACACACACACACACACACACGGTTGAGCCAATGAGGACACAGAAGCAGGGTCACGTGCACACACCAGCGCCCTTCACCTCCTTCTCCTTCTTCTTGTCGTCCTCCTTCTTCTTCTTGCTCTCAGGGATCAGGTCGTCCAGCCAGCTCAGCTCTCTCTTGGTGAAGCAGAAATCCAGAAGCTTCCGGATGAAAACCAGAGCGAGAACCTGCAGAACGCAGCAGGAGGTGAGTCCCCGCGTTACCAAGGAAACAAGGAGATGCAGTGTCTCTCAGTGCGTCTCACCATCATGGGGAAAATGACGGCGGCGGGCGAGGCTTTGATGGCCCACAGCGCGATGAGGCAGGACAGCTGCACCACGGTGAAGACGTGCACCTTCCACAGCGGCACGTAGCGCAGGTAGATCAGGTCGGGCTGGTGTTTGGCCGGCATGCCGAACAGTTTGATGCGGTCAAAGAGCTGTGGGACAGACAGACGCACGAGAGGTCAGACCAGCTTTAACGCCGCCATCGGCCGGACGGACGCAGAGACGTACCTGGATGCCTTTGAGCGAGGACACGCCCATGTAGAGGAACACGCCGTACAGGACGGGCATCGGGATGAACTGTAAAAGCAAAGAAGCGATCTGTGAAGGGAGCGAGGGAGCGAGGCGTGAACGCAGCACGCACCGTCTGACGACTCACCTTCAGGACGGAGGTCATGAACACGGAGCAGCCCATCAGGAAGAAGATCATGAAGCCGGTCACGCGCTGCTCTCTGATGCCGAGGAACTTGGGCTGCTCGCCGGGCGCCGCGCACTCCGACTCCAGCTTCAGGCTGTTGACATGGGAGATTGAGAGCACCGTCGCCGCCACGAACCACGGCAGGCCCATGATGGAGCACACGCCCAGCATCACCGCCACCACCAGCAGGTCCAGATGATAGCCACACCCTTTCTGCAGCCCGCACACACACAAACACACACAGTGAGGTAAAGGTCGTCACCCCGCGGGGACGACGGCACGCGGCTTCACGTCAGTTCTGACCTTCAGCTTGTTTTCCTTCCTGTTGATGATGACGGCGGTGATCTGCTGGTCCATGAAGATGAGGATGGTGCAGAGCAGCGCGGGGACGGCGGCGGCCAGCAGCGTCCACCACGGGTTCGGGCCCAGCGGGGAAATCAGCCACCCCCGATTTTCAGACGTGGGCTGAAAGCAGCGCGAGACCGTTTCTACGGTAACCTCTGAGTGAGCATCGTGTCAGCAGGTGTGAGCCGACGGCGCCCACACGCTTGATGATTTTACACTTTTTGTAACATTAAATATGTTACATGTTACCACTTAATGTTTTCAAAAGATCCGAACTGTGAAAGATGAAGAACGAATCCAAAGTTGAGACCTAAATGAGAACCGAACCCAGTGAACGACCTCTGACCTGTTATCACAGCGAGCTGCCGAGGGCCCTCGCTCAGTCTAAACCTCCCCCCAACATCCATCACTGAAGCTGGATTACATTATTACTGGAATAAAGGGCAAATGGCGCCCCCGCAGGCCGTTTGGACCTGCGCATGCGGAGAGGCGAGCGTTACCTTGAAGCGGTCGGGCACGTTGAGTTTGGGTGAAGGAACTCCCACCAGATAATCCACCAGCACCATGATCATGATGGTGAGGAAGACGGCGAAGTCGCTGATGGTCGATCGAACCTGCGGGCGGGAAACAGCATCGATATTTTCTTATCGAACGGTAAAGCGCGACGTCTCAGACCTCCAGCTCTGCACAAATATTAAACCGAGTGGTGATGTTTTCCTGTGGATCCAATAAATCCTTTATCTTCATCACACGTGAGAAACATTAAAGAGGACCGAGTCTGCGAGCACTCCATCGGCTCCTCTCTCAGGGTGTCACTGACCTTGGTGGGGAAGTAGCTCTTAGTCTTGAACTGCTTGAGGAAGGAGGAGAGGAAGAAGGTGGTGAAGAAGAGGATGATGGACCAGAAGAGGACGTCGGGGACGTAGGGACCGCTGTGGCTGCACGCCGGGCCGACCAGCTCCCCCATGAGTGCCTTGCACGTCTGTGGGGAGAGGGAAGCGTCAGCCGCAGTTCCTCTGATGACCAGCAGAGGCTGCTGCTCGTTTGTTCTGACTGAAAGGCGCCGCTGACGGCAGCGTCAGACAGAAAACAAAGTTTATTTCTTACCTTCGAGCTCAGCTGATCCCAGGTGATGTTTTCTGGGGTCACGTTCTTTTTGCTCCACACACCCAGGACTTCGGCCGAGGCGTTGGCGGGTGGAGCACACTGACATCTGAAACAGAGCAGCAGCGCTCACGTCAACTCGGAGCTAAATGACCACTTCACCCTCTTAGCTCCAACCGTGGGAGCACCGGCCCGGGATTCTGGCCCCGAGCAGATTCCAGCTGAAACGACCACGGTGACGTCGGACAGTCGCCTCACCTGTAGAAGGTCAGGTTGTCCAGCTGGTTGTGCATGTTGATGGGGTAGAGCTCCCCGAGGCGGACCAGCTTCTCCAGCGCCTCGTAGATGAAGATGATGCAGATGAGCGCGGCGAAGGCCTCCTCTGTGAAGCGGGTGATGTAGCAGACCAGAGAGCTGGCGTCCGTGGCGACCAGCAGCAGGCACAGGAAGGCGGTCCAGAGTCCGATGCTGGTCCTCAGGTGCAGGTAGGACAGATGGTACTGACTGAGGATGGGAAGGAAAGGAGGTCAAAGGTCAGCCGAGGGCACTTCTGTAGGCTCGCTCTCTCTAACCCAGCAGACATCCCTGCAATAACTGATGTCACACCTCCTGAGCGCCGCTTTGTTTGAAGCTCTCCTGACCTCTACGTGACCCCGACAAACGCCCTATAGCATCGACACGTGATCCCAAACCCTACAGCGGCTCCGCGACACGTCACTTCCTCCTGAAGCCATAGAGACTTCTAAAGACGGCAGAGACGTCGTTGCTTTGTTTATCCTCCAGATCAGCTTTTTCAATCTCGCCACGAAGCAGGAAGGTTTCAGACTGAAACACTGAGGTGAAGCTCGATTAACAGACGGTTTGTGACTGCTGCAGTTTAAACGCTTCCTGTTCTGGCTCACCTTTAAACAGCTTCTCTGCTCTCCGTGACAAACATGGATGATGTAATCCAGATGAAAATGGAGCAGGTTAAAAAAAACGAGGCTTTTATGCAACTGTTACAAAACATCTTTGTGCATCACAAAAAGCTTTTTTTAATCCACCAAAAAATTATACAACAACATGAAACAGCTGAGAGCACCGAAGCACAACGTTCCCACAGCTGCTCCAAAAATCCCTCAGATCACGTTAATCTGTGACGCTGAGATTAAGCGAGTGACCCGCTGCCAGCTCGCAGCTCCGTGCACAGCACTGGATGCGCCTGCAGGGGGAGCCGCAGCGTTGCAAACACAGAGGAGACGAACCCAAAGGCACAAGGACGGAAATAAAACACGAAAAACCTTAAAAACAAACGCAAACGCATTTTTTCTCTCTGCTCAGCAGCCCGCTGTGATGTCATCACAACCTGAACAGCCAATGGGAGCAAAGCTTTCATGCAAACCTGTCTGGCCGCTCTTGGGTCACGACTCACCTGCAGAACTTGAAGAGGATCTTCTCAAAGACCAGAACCGGGCCCGTGCTGCCCAGGATGGTGAGAGGCTGCCCGGCGAACAGAGAGTAGGCCACGCCCGTCAGAGACGCGCCAAACAGCGACTCAATGGCACTCTATCAGAGAGAGAGAGAGAGGGGAGTAACACCCGGATGCACCAATCAGGGCCCAGGATGAGCTCACACAGGGGTTCTTACTATGCTCCCTTTGGTGGCCTCCCCGAGCAGACCTCCGAAGGTGATGACGGGCGACATGCAGGCGCAGTACAGGAAGAGGATGGAGGCCAGGCACTGCAGGCTCACGGCGTCTCTGATGTCGCTCCAGTAGAACGGCGCCTTCCTCCGAACGTCGTTCACCAAACCGCCAAAAATCCTGTGGGACACACGAGGGATTCCCCGTCATTCCCAACACACAGCGAGCCAGGACTCGGCAGCGGAATAATCCCACGTTCAACACGTTTCCTGTTTTAATTTGAAAATCTCCTCGCAGTATTTATTAATATTGCTGAGCTTCACTCACCTCCCCGTCCTCTGCAGCTCTGGTCCCGCGTGATGCTCCGCCTCCTTGCCCATCTCAGAGCTGTGGGCGGAGCCATTGGGGAAGGACGCTATCTTTCTCTTCTCCTGCGGAGACAGACGGGGGCGGGGACGTCACTTCTGAGAGATCAGAGCTGGCGTGGCGGGTTCGGATCTTTTACCTGAGACGGGACGCTCTTCGGGGGCTCGATGCGGATGCTGGGGTCCCATTCTCCCGGCGGCAGCACGGTGACCTGATCCAGGAACTCGTCGATCCCCGACAGCAGGTCGTTGCGGTCCCTCGCCTTGTACGCCACGTCGTGGAAAACCTGCAGCAGAGCCGCCACACGTCAACAACTTTTTGTCTGCGCTTCAAACGAGATTACGCCTCCTGAAGCTTTTTCACGAGCACGCCGTCACACTGACACGTCTGTGTCTGCAGAGGCGGGAACAACGTCAGCAGCAACCACAGACACACAACAGGTAAACACAGCCGGCTGAAACGCAGCGCGGTGAGCCTTCATCGTCCCACACGGCCTCTAAACACCATCATCAGCTGCAGACCTGCAGCTCTCCGTCACGCTGCACGCTCAGTGCAAACAAGCGTGTGATGATCAGCGTGCTCCAGCTGACCTCGCTGCTTCTACAGACACGCGCCGTCACTGAGCCGTTCACCTTTAAACTATCAGGACGCGAGGAGGCGACCAAACCGGGTGACCATGGAGACTTCCTGCCTGAGTCTGCTGCCAGTCTGGGCGTAGTTTAACCCCAAACACACACACAGGCTCACTCTGGGCTTCAGACGCCATCCTTACATCTATTCCTGTAATGTCTGTGTGTGAAAGCGTCGCTCACCTCGTCTGTCATCAGTGTGGCGATGGAGCGCCCGATCTCGTGGTACTGCGGACCTTTTCCAAACGGACCGAGCAGCAGGAAGAGAAACCTGCAGGGACAGGAAGTCTGTCAGCAGAGGAAACGCACGGAACGGCGTGCCGAGGGCGGCTCGGTCGCGGCTTACCTGGTGGGCACCGGGACTTCGGTGAGGCCGGTCAGCAGCACGGCGGGGCAGAGCCGGACGAAGGCGATGATGGGCCGCTCCAGGAAGTCCACTTCACCCACCAGGACGTTGGAGGCCTCGGCTCCGTGAGGAATCTTCTTCATGAAGTTCATGTCCACCTGACACACACACACACACACACACACACACACACACACACACACACACACACACACACACACACACACACACTGTTCGTTTTATTTTGTAGTTCCTCGTTGGTTTCACTTCCTGGTCTAGGACCTCTGTGATCCTCGCTGCAGGCTGCCTGAGCCACAGCAGTGGATCAGCTGCCTCCAGCTCATTTTTACACCTGACAGACAGGAAGCAGCTGAATGCACAGACTTCACCTTTGACCTCCACGGGAAACATCATGAGGTGAAGCAAAGATGTGGAAAAAAAAAAGCTCAAAGTTTCACATCAACGACTGAAACATGAAAACTGCTTTTACACGTTTAACTGTGAGATGAGACCTGCAGTGAGCCTGGAGGAGGAGGAGGGTGGAGGAGGGTGGAGGAGGAGGGGCAGATGGAGGAGGAGGAGGAGGGGCAGATGGAGGAGTGAACAGATCCATGAGTTTGTCATGGATCTGAGTTCCTGTGTAAATAAAGTTCAATTGAATAAATCAATAAAAACATTTTTCCATCCAACACTGAAACAGCTGATGGTCACAGAACGCCACAGACAGCCAATCACAGAGCACCACCACGATGAGTCACAGCACAGGCTACACTGATTGGCCGAGGGCCGGCGACTGACATGCGACTTACTGCGGGCTTCCTGCTGGCCGCTGGCAGCAAACAAACGCAGTCGCAGTCCTGCTGGGAAACACAACACAGCTTCTGATTGGCTCGTTCGGGGACTCGCCGTCACGTGACCGAAAGCTCAGGTTCTGTTTGCACCTGGAGGCAGGTGTGGCTGCACAGCTGGATGCTCACTGGATGGTTTTAAGACCAAAGTCTTTGGAGTTTGAGCTCCATCGTCCAATAGCGTCACAGACTGAAGCAGGAAGTGGAATTCATCTCTGTGTTGTGGATTTTCTGCTGTGACGGACCAAGTCTCCTGATTTCATCCTTAATGTAAGCAGATACCCGATGACCTGCTGAACCACGGACGCAACGATCCGATGCTTGGATCGGACATCAGGCTGATCCCGACGCAGAGTCTGATCTACTTGATTCAGATCTGCGCAGAGTTGATCAAATCTGCATTCGATTTACACTTTCGTCTCCAACACTTTGCAAAAGCAAACGGATGTTCTGCTGTGCAGGAACGCCTCGTGCTGCCTTTCAGCGCATTACTGTGCACGTTAATCTGCGACGATGTCGTTGTGTTCGTTCGCGGCGTGGAGGAAGCAGGTGGCAGGTTCCTCCACCCACAGCTTCTCTTTCATGTGTGAAAGTCAAACATAAACCACTGAATTAAAGCGACCCGTCCATGAGGTCACTCGGGACCATCACAGCTTTAATTCTGCAGGTTATGCCTACGACTCGAGGAGTGGAGGCTCGGTGACAGTCAGTTTAGACTCCGCCACATTGGCAGGTTACTGTGGGAACCTGCCCTGAGCTGCGAGGCCACCGTGTAACCTGCATTTAGTTCTGACGTAGCGCCAGCCTCAGATTTCCGGGTGTCGGAGCTAAAAACGTGTTTTTAACCCTTCAGAAGTTTCATGTGGTCATTTCCTGTGCAGCTCTGTGCACTTAAAGGGCCGGACCTCTGAAGACGCTCACCGTCTGAAGGTAAACATCTCTGATTGGGTCAGAGACTCACAGACTGAACGTTTCATCCATCTCGGTGCTTCTGACATTTATTAGTTTTAAACATTAGTGCATCTGTCGCAGTGCGTCTGATAGGCGGAGCAGCGTCAGGGTGGAGCCTCCTACACCCACCAGCCCACAGCTCAGGGATGTTTCAGTCCCATCTGAACACCAGCTGATGTGTGAGGCTTCATGTAGCTGGCAGGGGTCAGAGGTCACAGTGGTGCAGCTCTGACCTCTCATCATTAAAGCATCTCTCACCTCCCTGAAGCTCCAAACATTGGAAAGCTGCAGGGAGCAGCAGCCGACCTATAAACCGCCCAACCTGCGTGTGAGGCGGAGCCCCGCGTTTACCTTGCTGAAGTCCACCGTGCTGTTCTCCCGGCTGCCGCTGCCGCCGTTGCCGCGACTCTCGGCGTTTTTGTTGTCGTCGAGGTTTCCGGGGGCCGACTGAGGCGACGCCAGCAGACCTGCAGAGCCACAAAGACCACAGAGTCACACGCAACATCTGCAGCAGCTGTCTGCAAACACACAGCCGTGTTACTGACACACGTGACATCACCGCCTCCTGACCCGCGGAGTTCAGTCTCAGAATGCGATTCCTGCTCGCTCACGCTGAAGCCGAGCGCGGTGCGGGCAGTGACGCGGTTTCCTCGGTTACATCATTGTTAGTCAGTGCGCAGCACGCCTGTGGTCACAGAGCGCCGCGCAGCAGAGTCTCGGCTCCACAAACGCGGTCAGCACAAATCAGCTTCACGTCAGCTTTTCACGCTTCAGCACCTGAACAGAGTGATGAGTCGGTGGTCAGGTGATCGAGCGTCAGCGAGTTTTGATTCTTTCACGGATCATTAATGAACAGGAAGTGCCGGGAGTCACTCGAGCGTCCAGAGTTCTCTGCCGCAGAAACACCGCGACGCAGCAGAGAAAACAAGCCGACCTGCTGGGATGCATTTTAATAAATCATCCGTTTCCACTGCTGATGACTTGCCCCTGGACCTGCATGCCTCTGCCCCCTCCAGCCTGTGTTGACTGTCTGCGGGACGTTAAAGCCTGGCTGTGGCATAATGTTCGCACCCCAAATGAAAATAAAACAGAAATGACAGCTTTAGAGGCGACAGCCCTCTGGGCCAGCCGGCCCTCTCGCACTGTCAGGAACACTGGAGTATGTTTGGATAGCTCCCTCAAATTAGAGAAGCACTAGTTTCTATCAGTAGGGCGGCTCGATTATGGCAAAAATGATCATCACGATTATTTTCACTGACATTGAGATCTCGATTATTTGACGATATTTATTTAATAACAATGTGTTGAATAATGACTTTTAAAAAATAATATAAAATAGTGCAAATGTTTGCAATATAAAAATAAATGAAAAATATAAACATCTGTGTTTCGTGAGCTTTGCAGTGTTGCTCTGTGGTGCAGCTACACCGTAGCAAAGTTCACACACTGTGTCCACTTGATCCACGTCTGACTGAACCTGTAATGTTTCCACACCACTGAAGGTTTTTACCTCTTTTCAACCAGCGGCAGTCACTCTCCAAATAACTTCTGCTTAGCTTTCAGAGCTTCCCTCGGGTCCTCTTAATCAGCGGTCTCCAACCTTTTTTGCGCCACGGACGGTTTATGCCCGACAATATTTTCACGGACCGGCCTTTAAGGTGTCGCGGATAAATGAGGGAGGGGCTAATAATCGGCTCCGTCATTTTTAATGATCGTTGAAAGCCCAGATCGTAATCGTGATTAAAATTCGATTAATTGAGCAGCCCTAGTAGTAAGACCACAAAAGTTCAGACGTCCTGATTTCCAGATCTTTAATGTTTCATAAAGGAGGGAAATGGACTCAGATCGGACCCGAGCCGCCTGTCAGAGCGAGGGAAACAAACAGGAAACAAACATGCAGACTCTAAGTCGCTGCAGCTAACAGCTAACAGCCTGCTAATGACAGGCAGCCGCCTGATTCCTTTCTGATTGGCTGAAAACAACATCTGAGGCGCTTCACGTGTGACCAGAGGCCGGTTTGTTAACTCCAGCAGAGGCTAAAGGAGACCGAGGATCCAGAGGACGCTGCCGTTCAACCTTCACCTGTTAAAAAAGTTTGTTAACAGAAAAACTCGAACGAGACTGGATGTGAACACAAACCCAGGCTCGGACAGGCGGCTGTACGACACTGCAGGTCCAACATTCACGCAGCTCAGTCTCCAACAGACGGACGGCAGCAAAATAAACCAAAAACATGCAAAATAACCCCGCCCCCAAATAAGCTGCCAGTCTGCCAACATTCGTCCAATCATCCGCCTCCAGCTTCATCAGCACGTTAGCGGGCATGCTTCAGTGTCAGAGCGTGGAAACGGCCGGAGGAAAGCCGTGCCGTATTTGCCTGTTTGGGGAACCACGTCGTCTTCATCTCCCAGGTGGAACACCTCCTCCTCCTCCTCTTCTGGGGGGTGCACCACCACCTTGGGGAGCCCCACGGGAGCAGAGGAGCGGCGTGGAGAGCCACCGGGGACGGGAAGGGCGAGTCCGTGAGGCTGGCTGGGTTCGGAGAGGTGACGGCCGTAACGATACAGAGAGAGGTCGGTCTGTGACGAGGAGGCGGAGCCGGGGAGGAGGTGCCCGAACGGGCCTGGGGTCCTCGCAGAGGGGGGTAGGGTGGAGAGGTCGAAGGAGCCCATGGAGCAACGACGGAGGAGAGAGAGACGAGAGGAGGACAGACCCTCCCCTGAGGAGGAAGAGGAGGAGAAAGATCATGATGATGAAGAAGGAAACACCAAGCCAGCGTGCATGGATCAGTGAGTTAGGACGCACGTCACACCAACATCGGCCTTCTAAAGCTAAACCTTCCTCCACCAATCACGAAGCTCCGCCTTTTCTTTACGCCTACCATCAAATCCAAGACATCTGGATCGGTCCGGGACCAATTCAATTCAGTTTGATTTACACAGCAGCAAAACCTCAGGGCGCGTTTTATTAGAACCAAGTGCTGCTAGTCCTGAACGAGCCACAGCAGCTTCATGCAGAGCGGTCTGTGCCGGTTCTCGGTTGTGCCGGTTCTCGGTTGTCCCGGTCGTCCAAAGTGCTCAAGCGGAGGGCAGCCGGACGACTTCTGGGTTCTGGACGATGTTTCGCCTCCATCTGAGGGCGTCTCAGGTATCGCACCTGTACAGGGGTGGTCACTTTGTAGGCGGTAGGACATTTGGGCGTCGCTGCCTCACCCTCCCATCGTGTCAGTTGGACACAGAAGTCGTCCGGCTGCCTCCAGACCCGAGGGACAGTCACCAAGCTAGGATGAACCTGGCGCTTTCAGCCTGTTTGAAAAGTTTAAGAAGCAAACACTTTCTGTCTTTTAGTTACAGTCTTTGTTCAGGTAAAGGCAGCAGGAGGGCCACCCTCGCTCTAACTACCCGTCTGCAGTGAACACGCCAATTACTGAATGTTTACTCCATCACATGCAGGAAGAGCTGCTGTAACTGGGCATCAGCCCACTCAGTCCACTGTGGTGGAGAGCAGAGGAAACACACCGAGCCGGGAGCGTCGTGCTGGAGGCGATGACCTCGTGAAGCTGATTACAGCTGCAGTCAAAGTCTGACCCTGAGCTCTGCTCTGATGTCTTCAGCTTTATAAACTGTAGGAAAGAGTCAATCTGAAGAAAAGCTCCTGAACGAACGAGCAAACGGTAAAAGCTGCAGCTGATCGGTCACGTAGGTCACACGCACGTCAGACGGCTCAGCGCCTGCAGACGGCGTTCGGCCCGAGCAGCATTAAAACATTCCTCTCTCACAAACAGGATCCAGGAGTGCGGATATGAAAACGCCGACTTCGCTCATGCTGTTAGCTGGTTATTAGCTCAGCGAGTCAGCGGGTCCGGCCAGGTCAGGGAGTCCCGGTCAATAATAAACAGGGTGAGGTCACAGCAGCTCAGGTACGGGCAGGTGAGAAACCAACCGGAGCCATCACTCATCACAATCACTCAAAAACCACGGCAACGGCACCATGCAGCAATACGAGACCCGTCGTCTTGTCACCCCTTTACCTCGACCAATCAGGATGGACAGACTCTACATTCTGCCCGACAACAGAGACAAAGAACTATGAACTATGAAAGAAAACAGTGCATTACTTAGTAAAGAACTCGTAAACCTACCGCCACGCTGGTTTGCAGCGTGCCGCCGACCCGCTGAGGTCATTTAGACCCCCCCGGTTTTTAAACAGTGCAGAACTAAACCCTGCAGAGCCCGAGCAGTGCCAGAGGTCAGGAGGGGTCAACCTGAACTGGCCTCCTGCAGCTCGTCTCCTGACCTGCAGGTGCGAGGATGACAAGAGCGCTGCGGTCTCACCGTTGCGTTCCAGTAAGTTTGGCTCCGAGTATTTCTTGCCTATGTCGGCAAAGGATCGGACCAGCGGGATGCGGTTGCTCAGCTTCTTCTCATTCTGATGGTGGTGGCGCCTCAGCATGGCCTCCCTCACCTTCTCCTGCGCGCCCTCCTCCAGCTGACCGGACGCCAGCATGCTGTCAATCACCATGTCTGCGAGGAAGGAGGACAAGAGGTCAGCTGATGGACACAAACGCACTGCAGGTTTATGTTCTGAGGAGGAAATGAAAGGCGTGCAGCAGAATCATTTATCAAACGCCTTCGCAGCAGCCTTTCACTTCCTCTTCTCTCTGAAACAAGACGTCAGAACTCGCCCTGAATACCAACTTTCTAGAGATTGGCTGATGCCTGGAAGCCTGCTGAGGGGCAGCTTATACCAGCAGGAGGAAACCAGAGAGCTGCGCTTTCATCGTGGCGCTCTTCGTCTCCAGCAGCTGATCCAAACTAGATTTAGAGCTCAAGTGTGGTTTTAGCACGTTCCGACCTCCTCTAGATTTAAACACAAAGGTCGTTTTTGGAGCAGCGTATCGAGTGATGGGACGAGTTCCCGACGGCGCTCTGACCTGCGATCTCCTCGATGGAGCCGGCTCTCATGTCGAGCAGCACGGTGCCGTTCAGGATGCAGGAGCGCAGCTCGAACAGGCTGTGCAGTGACAGCGTCGCCACGTAGGGTTTGCTCCAGCGCTCGCCGCCGTCCTCAACGTCCTCCTCAAACTTCAGCCACCTGAACAAACACACACACAGCCGAGTGTTGACATTTGAAGAACGCCAGGCGTCTGATTCGTGCTAATGCTATAATGCTACACTAATGTGGGCTGATCCACTTTGCTCTGCTGAGTAAATAAGTTAATCTGAAGGTTTCCAAACCACACGACTCGGCCCGCCTTCATCGGTTTCCTCTCAAATCCAGTGAGGCTCGTCTTCCTCGTCCTCACAGCGCTCTGCAGAGTCTGGATTAGAGAGGAAACCTCTTTAACCCGAGTCAGAAACGCTGAACAAACCAGGCCTCGCCCCTGCACGGCGGGAGGATCGCTCCTCACAGCTCTGCAGCGTTATTGGAAAGATTAACGTCTGAACGCAAAGCAGAGAAAGAGGATAAGCGCCCTGCCTGGCCGTCTCCTTCCACTCCTGCATGTCTCCGTCTTTGAAGGCGAGCTCATCCAGCTCGGTGAACAGGTCGTGGGGGATGTGCTCCTCGTCGTCGTCCTCGGTGCCGAGGATGAACTGGACCCTCTGAGACGGCGTGTCTGCGGGGACACAAACGCTTCAGCACGCCGCCGTCCTACAGCTGGCCCGTGTTTGTTTATCCTCGTTCAAACCTGACCGTATGACGGCGACTCTCGCCCGTCCTCCCGATCCGAGCGCTCTCTGCGCTTCCTGTGATGTCGATGTCCGCGGTGACGGTGTCTTCTCCGGCTCTGGCGGCCCAGCGGAACGTGCACACCAACGTACACCGCCCTGTGACCTGACGGAGAGAAGCAGAGGGGTCACATGAGTTTGTTCTACACCTCCAGTGATAACAGAACGCTGGAAACAAACACGTGAGGGAAACACTGAAGGCGCTGCTAACACGGGAGGCGTGCTGCACAGCTCGCACTGCACGCTCCGTTTCTCCTTACCTCAGTAACGTTCATCGGATTTTCTCTGGCTGCGTGTCGACCTCTCACTCAGTTGTTTGTTTAAAACAGGACTGTAATAAACTAGTAATAACATGGAAACAACCTACAGCGTCTAACGAGATGTGAACTGAAGCTCCGTTTGAGTTAAAGATGCTTCTTGTAATTACCGTGACCTCACTATTCGTGTTTCCCTGCAGGGCCTTTCAGAGGTTTCCGGGAGGCTCGGGACTCAAACTGCACGGTTGTTGGAAATCGTTTGATTTGATGCCGTTTTTGGCAAATTGTGCACAAAAATAATTATTTTTGTTTTTTCCTGCAGTTTATAAAAATTGCTGCATCTCAAAAATGAAACTAAGAAGACAAAATCCATTTCCTGCGGTTTGAAACTATTTCATGCAACGTTTTGCATTTACAGTTTTGAGGGATTCACCTCTGAAATATCTGTAAAAAAACAGTTTCTGTAGTTAATTGCACCGTTTTGCAGTTCACGTAGCTTCTGTGGACTTCATGCACACACATGATGAAACTCTGGGATATAACGGTTGCACTGATGGCACTACGGCAGGTACAAACATACAGAGAAGCTGGGCTTCAAAGGGTTAACGACTTAGCTGAAAATGACAGGAGCTGCAGCACAAGCACCACACGGGGGTTCGTACGTGCCTTAGTTCCTCTTTCTGAACACGCCACCTCACAATAAGAGCTGAGGTCACGTGAGTCACACTCCATGTTTGGCGTGTACACGTCACGAGATTTCATTTCCACTTTTTCTGCAGAAATGACGTCGACACACTGCAGACTGTTTACGGCTGTTTCCAAGTTTGACATAATTCTTTCTGAAATATTTTAAATCATCATTTTCTCGAGCCTCAGGCTGTGTGTGTGTGTGTGTGTGTGTGTGTGTGTGTGTGTGTGTGTGTGTGTGTGTGTGTGTGTGTGTAAATGCGGGCTGAGTCATTTTGTTACTGTGTGTTTGACTGTAAACACACACTGAGGCACCTTTGTGTGTGTCGGTGTATAAACTCACTCTCCAGTTCCTCTTTCTCAAAGTTGGTGTAAAGGGTGGAGCTGGTCTTGCCCTGGTCCAGCACGGCCTCCTCATCGTTCCCCTGCAGAACACACACAGACCCACAGGTGACCTGAGAGTGGGTTTAAACGAGTGTTTATCAAACTCATTTTCCAACTCTGTGTAAACACGGTCGCGTCTGCCTCAAAACAACGGCGAGGCTTTGGAGACAGACCGTGAGTGACGCGAGGACGGCTGCTGAGGTCACGCCGTGTTAGTTGGCACCGGGAGGCCGGCAGAGTCATCGCAATCACAGCGTCTGCAGCTTTAAACACCGACACGCCTCCACCAAAATCGGCTGCAGATTACGCCTCGCCACTCAAATCAATCACCAAACAATGTCACAGTGAACGGGCAGGAAGTTACTGTCAGCCAAGGAGTCTGGCTCCGCCCACAGCTGATGGGAATGCGTGAATAACTGTACAACAGGAAGTGGAGCAACAGCTGGACATCAGTAGGGTGAGATGGAGACAAACACAAAACAAAAAAAACCAGGAAAGAAGAGGACGCGTACCCGCGTACGCTAAACTGAGCGTGCTCCACTAACCATAATGACCTATGTCGACCGCCCCGAGAGAGAGACACACACACAAGTTTGATGTTGGTGTGTCAAACAGGAAGTGCAGCTCCACACTGGCTGCTTTTTAACAACCAGCTGTCTGTTTGCAGAGCAGCACATCACACACGCACGCACACGCACGCACGCACACACACACACACGCACACACACACACACGCACACACACACACACGCACACACACGCGCACGCACACACACACACACACGCACGCACACAGTCATAAAAGCAGCAGCTGCTTGAGTTCGACCTCTTTGGAAAACGTTCCCGCTCAGCAGCATCTCTCCGTCTGCACGTCGGAGCTCCTGACACTCACCCCGAGCTGATCTCAGGTATACGAGCTCCGCTGAGCCGTCTGTGTGAGGTTGGGCTCATTTTGGCCTCCCAACAATCATTCCTGCTGCAAAGCTCGCACTTCTGTCTCACGCTGCCTTTGGCAGAAAGCTTAAACTCGCCCTTCAGTTCAGCTTGTTCATCCCAATAATGATGAAGAATCTCTGAAGCGAGCACGTGCTCGCAGAGCGAGCCAGGAGACCGAAGGAAACCCTGCAGGTGACCTTCCCCACAGCTCACGACCCGGCAGAGTCCTCACCACGGCGGGTCGATGCACGCCCGCATCACTGTGGATCTGTTACATCACTCATCGACACAGAGACCTTCCTCTGTTTAATGAACCGACCCAGAGACACTCAGACCGCAGACGCTTCAAAACACCGCCGAGTTCTGTCAGTGATTAATCGTCACTAGCGAACGATCACACAGTTTGACAGTTAGCCCCGCCCCTCCTCATCACGTCTGAGAACAGCGAAGCTGCGCCTCTGTAGTTTCACAGACAGGTCTGGGCACGCTGCAGACTCCTAGAATAAAGTTGAAGATCGTTTGTCTCTCATGTGCCTGCATTTGTGTGTGCGTGGAGACACAGCTGAGTCATGAAAAAAAAGAAGGATGATGAAGAAGATGAAGCTGAGCTGGTGAGAGGCCCCGAGAGTTTCTACAGACAGGACGAGCCAGCAGGTGCGAGGTAGCGAGTCAGCTGACCTCTGCCCATTTACGTCAGCTGCAGTCTCTCATGTGTTTGCTCTGATGGGTGGATGCTAACGTCCTGCCTCTCACTGACCTGCTGTCACTGTGAGGCCGGCAAGTGACAACAAAGATGGCCGCTCTCCAACGGTTTATCGTTTAAACTCGGAGCGAACGCTTCAGATCCCTAAGAGTGCTCCATCACAGCCGTGCCATTACTGTACAGATATGATCGTACAGCATATGATGCTCATGATATCGTTGCAGCTATAGCAACAACACACATCGACATTCAGAAACACAACAAGCCCGAACATGTCTGAGAGTAAGAGCCAGGTGTCGTCACTTTGGGCTGAGAAACAGAGGACGAGTTACTGATAACAGGAAGACCAACGTCGTCGCAGGTGTGACATCTCATGTCAGGACCAGTGTTACTATGGTTACTGCTCAAGGGTTAGCTGTTTAGTTACATTGTTACTTTAAATTTCCCGGGAAAACAACAATTTGGTTACTTTAGTGGTTACGTCGGAGCTCTGCTGTCAGTGGATACGACGCGGCAGCGCGGTCAGGGGCGCGGCAGCGCGGTCAGGGGCGCGGCAGCGCGGTCAGGGGCGCGGCAGCGCGGTCAGGGACACGGCAGCGCGGTCAGGGACGCACCGATCCTGCCTGCTGGAGCAGGACGTTGCCAAAAACATTCAGCCATAAAAATCATCAGCAGGCTTTCTTAGATGTCATGCTGATACCTCTACATCACAGGGATGAACTTAGACGTCAGTAAAATGTTTGTGTTTATTTATAGTAAGAGCTGGACGCCCCGCAGGAACAGATCTGAGGCGCTGACAGACCCAAACATACGAGGAGGAGGAGCCTCCCAAGCCTGATGTGGTGAAAGCGTACACGCCTGCAGCTCTCGGTCCAAATAAGCTGCAAGTGCCTGAGAGCAGAGCGACAGATCCATCCGGTTCAGCAGGGTTAAAGATAGAGCGCACACACACACACACACACACACACGTTCCTTTTTCCTGTCATTACAAACACTGTTAGCGCACGCTGCCAATGCCACATCGGCCCACAGGAAGCGCACACACGTGGACTCTTCTTCTCTTTCACAACATCTGAGAAGCTACGAAACTCTCAGAGCTGCTTCTGGGAAGTGAACCGGGGGGGGGGGGGGGGGGGGGGGGTGTCAGGTGTGTTCATTTACAGGCTCGGCTGCAAAGTTGACCTCAGCTGACAAATATACACTCGCCGGCCACATTATTAGTTACACTATACTCGTGCTCCTCAGAGACTGGTCCACGTCGATATGACATCATCGCACAGCTGTTGCAACATCCATCAGCTGGCCTGATCAGAGTTTGGTGAAGTTGTGTGTTATCCTACTGGAAGCAGCCAATCAGAAGACGCTGGTCCGCAAGTTTAAATGATGCTCCGTTTGTATCGTGGGGCTCACCGCGACCCACCACGCCACCGGCCTGCACCACTGATGCTGTGGTTGTACGTACAAGTGTTGTATAAGAGCCGGTTCAGTTACCGTGGTGATGTACAACATCCGAACATCACAGCACAAAGATTCAGACCAGGAGAGCTTCAAGTCACCTTTATCACTTTGAACTTCAGCAGGTCGGCTTGTGCTGCCTTGTGATTGGCCGATTAGAAATTTGCGTTAAAGAACAGTTCAACCGCTGTACCTAATCAGAATCAGAAACTTTATTGTCATTGTCATGAGAACAACGAAATGAAGAATGGTCCCCGATCATTGCATCATCCCTAGCAAAATCAAAATATAAATAAAACAATAAAATTCAATAAATAAAATAGATAGAATACTTAAAATACTAATAAGATATAACAGTAAAACATTCACATACATTCCCACACACATGCTTCAGACCGTGCATAGATTAACACAAGAGTGGCGTGATGGACATTTTTTTGTAGTATTCAGATGTGTTATTGCAGTTGGATAACAGCTGTGTTTGAGTCTATTAGTCCTTGCTCTGATTGCCCTGTACCGTCTGCCTGAGGGCAACAGTTCGAACAGGGAGTGGCCAGGATGTGAGGTGTCTTTTATGATGTTTTGGGCCTTTTTAAAACAGTGGGCGTTGTGTAGAACTTCCAGTGTGGGGAGAGGGCAGCCAGTGATCTTTTGGGCGGTGTTAATGATCCCTTGGAGTGCTTTCCTCTGAGCCCCTGTGCAGCTAGTGTACCAGATGCATATGCAGTAAGTTAGAACACTCTCAATGGTGGCTCTGTAGAAGGACACCAGCAGTCTCTGTGTGATGTTATTCCTCCTGAGAATTCTCAGGAAGTACAGTCTCTGTTGGGCCTTTTTCAGCAGCTCGGAGGTGTTCACACTCCAGGAAAGGTTCTCCTCTATATTGACTCCCAGGAAGCGGAAGCTTGCCACCCTTTCTACACAGTCCCCATTTATGAATAGTGGTTGGATCTCTGCCTTTTTCCTTCTGAAGTCTATTATGAGTTCTTCGGTTTTTGAAGTGTTGAGGAGGAGGTTATTGGCCTTACACCATGACGTCAGCTGCTCCAGCTGCTAATAAACTGTCCTGTGTGTAAGAGTGAAAGGACTTTCTACTAATTTACACTAAACTTAAAGGAAGGAAAAGACGAGGCTCCCTTCTTTCCTCACCGAGCACACACACTGAAAACACAGCCGCCGCTTCCAGCTGCGGCGTCCAGACTCAAACTAAACTCGATCGCCCGGCCCTCGGTGGAAATCAGCACTGCAGAGACCTGGAGGAGACGGCCAGGTCTGACCTTCTGACCTCAGAGATGAACTCTGGATCCTGGACACCGGAGCGGAGCGGAGCCAATACACAAACTTTCACTTCAAGGCTTGTAAAAATATAAATCGTCCCCGAAGGATCGAGAACATCGCTCACACTTCAAGATCGGCTTTCAGCTTTAGAGAGCGAGGCAGTACGAAACATCCAGCGCGTCATTCCCCACGAGCATGACCTCTTACCTTTGACTGCGTCACTTCTGTGTGGGGCTTCACGTGCGCAGCAGCCACGAGGGGTCAGAGTTACAAACCGACATGTGGTAACCTCAGCTGGGTCCATCATTGCAGTCTGACTGCACTTGTGCGCCTCACACAAAGACGGGGAAACATTACGAGAGCCGGCGCTTACGCAGCTTTTCTTCTGTTCTGTAGCTCAGCTACACGGCGAGAGACGCCCACGTCACCAGACGAGGGCGAGATCAGGAGAGATCTGCTTCCTGAGGATGGATCCTGTCCACCGACGGCTCGAGCTGAAGGTGAGCCGGTACCTGTGAGCGGATACCGTGCAAAACAGATGTGGCCAGATGTTGCAACGCAGCAGACACCCGCCGCTCTCGAGGTGCACCTGTGGCTGCGTTTAGATGCAGAGCAGTCGGCCGGTCGCCGATGCAGCGGCCGGTGGACTCTAAACATCAGAGCGGAGTCTGGGCTACGATCGACACTGCGTGTGTGCAGAGGCAGGATGTTGCCATTTGTGTTGTCGCTGTTGCACACACGCTTTCAGCTCTTTTCCTGTTAAACTCATTTCCTTCAACGCTGCGCGACCAACAGACACATGGAAACCACTAACGCTCGTCACCTTTGCTCAGAGCTCAGTCACAACCACGAACAGCCGACCAAAGGAGAAGCTGCCCGACTATCAACATCAGAAACCCACTTTTCAATCTGATGACGTGAAACAGAAACTGCTTCTATAAGCAGATACATACCAGAGACATGGCCCGGGCCACCCTCTGACTGGCAATGTCTCCCCAGAAGTCTCCCATAGCTGCTCAGTCCAAAAACACAGACTCCTCAGGGTCAAAGAAATCCTGCCACACGAGAGAAAAACTGTGGTGGAAGTGTCCCACAGAGCTGTGAAAATCAAATCCACCAGGTCTGTACGTCTGCAGCTCGAACACAGCGTGGATGTGCGAGTGTCCCCGGGACAGTAAGTGAATCCAGACAGCGAGCTGCCAGCAGAGCCTCGGATACGATTCAAGTATTTATAGCAGAGCTGTTGCTTCACTGAGCAAGCAGCCAGCCTGGAAGTCTGCAAACACAGCAAGAAAAAAAAAAAAAAAAACTGAAAAAAAGGAGGCGGGGCATCTGCTGACAGAGGCGTCATCCACATTTCTGAGCAGGAAAAAAAGGCAAACAGAGCGAGAGCAAACTGAAACTGCTGACCTGAAACCGGCCTCAGCCGCCCCGTTTTCCACCCCGACACGTCCGTACCCGCAGTGTTTACCTTCCAGGTCAGAGGTCACACACACGAGACTCCTTTATAGTCACAGATGTTCAAATCAACATGAAATGAACCAAATACGATGATTACGCCTCTAATGATTCACCTCCTGTACTTACTGCTGTACGCTTACTGACGCCTGTAATTACGTTTTACTTCTTTAAAGTTGCCACTTCCCATTTTTTATTTCCATATTATTTTATTGTCTAGCGCATTTATTTCCTTATGTATTTATGATTTGTTTATTTAATGAATTTACATGACAAGTCGTTATGTTACAAACTCCTCATAGTTGAAACAACCGCCTCAGGTCACTGCTGTGAAGCTGCACAAATAACAAACCTATTCAATTCAATACATCGTTACTGAAAAGATAAACACATATACATCCCCATTTATTCAATTATATAAAGAGGTGCAAGTTGAAACTAGTTCTTGTTAGTTTAGGCAGTTTGTCACAAAGTCCACAGTGCAGGCTGTTGGCTGCTGCCAGTCACAATGCAAACTTTAAGCCTTTAAGCAGGCGAGTTAGAAAATACAGGGACAAGCTGGGAATCGTCCACAGCATTGCGGCCTTTCCGGTGTGGCGGATAAATACAACAACCGAGACAAACACTGTGGGGTTTTGTAAATATAATAATAAACGCAAATTTGCTGTGTGATTGTGTAACTTTATTAGCAGCGTCCTCCGCTCAGCCCCTTAATGCTCTCAGGTCGCTATGGCAACACAAATATTTCTTTCAAAATAAGACGCACAACTACAACACGGGAGAGACCCAGGGAGACCGAGCACACGATTAAAACCCTGAAAACCATAAAATTTCACGACCGAGTCTCAACTCTCACGGCCCGGACCATGACCCGGGGGTTGGGGACAGCTGATCCACAGAGACCCAACAGTTGGTATCAGGCTGTACACATGTTTAACGTGGGGCCTGAGCCCGCTGGAGCCCCTGCTGGATGCTGGGGGAAGTGCAGGGTGTGGTGCTTCTGACAAAACTCTGATTTACTGTCTCAGCCTAATGCTCAGAGTCTCGTTCGGTCCAGCATTTCTCCCTCTGTCGTCCCAGTTTTTGGGCTCCACCAGTCCACTGTCTGTGTGAGGAAGCTTTTCAAATGAGTTCCTCTCAAACTAAAAGCAGCTGCCTGTAGGGCAGAGACGACATGCATGGGAGGAAACCCTCTGTGGCGAGACGAGCCGTGGGGTCAGCTGACGATCCTTTACTGACCTTAAAAGACGAGCGTGAGCTGCTGAGAGGAGCACGGCAGCAGGGAAGCTGGTCACTGCGTTTAAGGCCGAGAAGTGAGGAAGTCAGGAAAGTCTGTTTCCATTTCACATGTGGAGTTTCTCTGCTCTGGTCACGTGGCCGAGTCGGCCACTTGTGGTTGTCAGAGGCCAGATGAGTGCATTGTGGAGGAAATGTAAAAGCTCCTTGGTCATGTGTTGATGTGTTCATGCAGCAGCTTGTTCTCGGTTCTCATTAGAATTCCTGAGCTGAGTGGAAAAGAACTGGTGTGGCCTCAGAGGCACGTACGCAGTATCGCTCCATTTATTGTTTTCAGATGCAAAACTCCAGGCTGAATGCCGTCCCGGTGGTGAAACGGGACGCTGTCCATGCTGAGAAACACGAGACGGCTTCATTTACTCTTTCCAGCGCTGCCGATTCTCCCTGCGAGCAAATCGAATTTACCCACCCCGACTCTCCCACAGGGACTCCCAGGTCAGGAGAATCGGCTTCCTGCATCACCGAGATTAAAAAGCAACCGTAGAGCGAGGTCAAAGGTCGGAAGACAACAGGAGGAACGGCAAACGGTCCCATGGGACTCGGATTACTTAAGGAGAGACGAGCTGCGCTGGCACAAAGGAACAGAGCAGGGCAGGTGGTTCAAATCTGCCCTTAAGGCCCCACAGCAGCGGCGCTGAGCAGCATGTGGAAATACACATACATGTACGTGCTACAAACACCCACATGAAGAACGGTGGCAGATATTTGTCCTTCAAACTGGGACCATGACTTTTTGGGGTCTTAAACTGGGACTTTGTTCAATCGGAGCTGCAGTTCCTCTGACGTCCACCTGAGGCGCCGTCACAAAGAGCAGGTTTAAGCGCTTTTATTTAAACAGGCTTTCTGCTGATTTTATTGAATCATTATTTATTTACGTTAAAAAAATACCTGTTTATTTTATTATGTCTTATTGTATCTTTATATTGGAGATCATGACATTTAATGTTCTTGTATCAGTTTTGGTTTCTACAGCTGATAACGGCCAGCCGCCGCTTCCTGGCTGCTAAGAACCCGTCATTAACCAAGCAGCAGGATGAAAAATAATACGGCAAAAGTATGAAAGAAGGGAACATGGAGCGAATGTTCTTTTATGCATGAAAACATTTAAGTTTGAAGCTCAAGCTCCACAACCTGCTGCAGGCTTCAGCTATGATTCCAGCAAAGAGAGAAAGAAAGAGGAAGTGCAACAGGGAGGAAGAATGTTTTTGGAAATCTTTGCAATGAAAATATAATGACACACACACACACACACACACACACACACACACACACACACACGACTCCCCTGAGACCAGAGAGAGTCTGTGCTGATGCTGCCATATTAGGAGAACCAGCAGGGAGGAAAAACATCTGGACTGCAGCAGCATTTACTAAACACATCAGCAACTGTGGGAAAATTCACACCCCACACACACACACACACACACACACACACACACACACACACAGTGTACCTTGTGTTTAAACTGTGTGCTGATGCCCCACCGCAGCTTTCTGATTGGCTAATTTCACAGCTAGTGAGTCTATTATTGACCGTGGTCTGGGCTCACCCAGTGTGTGTGTGTGTGTGTGTGTGTGTGGGGCTGCCAAAGGAGGCTGATTTAGACAGAAAGTACTCTGAAAGGGAAGTACTCCGTTCAGATCAAAGTACTTGAGAGGGCCAATCAGAAAGCAGCAGCATGACATCACTCACATTAGGAAGCCCAGAGTTTAGCATTATTGCCAGAAGTGCCATATTTGGAAACAGAGGGGGGAGGGGCAAGCTATCAGCTAATGCTAATTAGCATCCACAGACAAGATAACGGCCGATTAGAGCTCAGTAAAAATAAATCAAGTAGAATTTCACCAGAACTGAAGCGTGTTAGCACAGCGACCTCATAGCAGCCATTTCATTGGTCACATTAGGGCTGGGCGATATGACCCAAAATTCATATCTCGATATTTTTTAGCTGGATGGAGATATAAGATATATATCTCGATATATATATTTTTTTAAGCCATAAAGTAAGAACAAAAAGAGTTCTTAGTCAAAGCTGTGTCCCAGATGTCACACAGGCACTTTTATTAACATACAGCACAGATGTACATGAAAAATTACTCAAAATTAAATTATGAGCATTCATTAAATAATCATGCTCCATAAATAAAAGAAAACAAGGTTGTTTTTGTGCTAAACAAAGAGCTCACAATTGTGCAGTCAAAATGTAAACTAAAAGACGCTGAGCGTAATAACAAAGACAGACAGATTTCACAGCTGCTCTATTTCCAAGTTTTACTGCGTGACTGACAGCCTGGAGTTTGAAATCCGCTTCATAACCACGTCTCTTACAGGTGCCATTTATAGTCCTTATACACACACAAGGTAATATTACGTTGAAGCACAGTACGTATCACTCCGCGAAGCTCCTCGGTAGCCGTAATGCGCCGACAATCTATCAAGCGGTGCAGCTCCGTAGTTTACCAAAGTCGTACTCAAACATTTGTGACAGATTGCTGAGCGCCGTGTACCACATAAAATCGGTTCGCGGCCATCAAGCACAACCAGAATTCATACATAAGGCGCGCTGTCAACTTTTGAGAGAATGAAAGGATTTTAGGGTTAGCGCTGTTAGCTCGTTAGCACGTTGACGCCGTCCAGCCCCACGCATGGGGCGATGCGCAGTAACTCGTTAACGGAGATTTGCCGTGTCCGTCTTGTCGCTGCCTGCACGTGAAGCGATGGGGTAGGAGGGGGAGTTGTCTTCAGTGAAGGCGAGGCGGAGTAACGTTGCGTAGAGACAAAAGTGGACGAAAGAGAGGCAAACTTGCGGCTCCACAACTATAATTATAACGTAACATAGACTATATCGATATAAAGGATATTGTCACATCTTATATCTCGTATAAAAATATATCGATATGTTTTAAAAACTCGATATATCGCCCAGCTCTAGGTCACATTAGGTCAATAAAGGCTCCAACAGCACAAACCTGGTCCACAGGTGCAGTCCAAAGTTAGCCGAAGTGAAGCCAAGCAGCCAGCTAGCAGCTACAGCCACCTGTGTCAGCATCCACCTGTCAGTCAAAAAGGCCACGCCCCTAACAATACAAACTACAAGCCTTAATACGTATTTGACCTTGTTTTTAATGAGGGGGGCTTTAAGAGGGTAAAACTGATGATGCTGGCGTTCCTCACGCCAAGCCTGCAACTGATAAAACGTCCTGAGTGAAGAGCTCGCACAGATTTGTGAAGGCTAAAATGATGGTTTGAACCTTGTTGTTTGGTGCAACAGCAGGTATTCAGTTACCAGGATGCGGAGACGATCCTGAATACAAGGCTTTGTTCCCCAAAGATCAAATGCTTCCCATTCACATTCAAACTTGTGGCCACCGATGCATCGTTGCACGCGACTGCTGACGTCAGCACGCAGCGGTTCGCTCTGTTAACTTTCAGACACCATCAGGCGCCATGGCAGAACAAAGCCTCAGTGAGTCCGAGGAGGAGGAGTGGCCCCCGCAGTGCGGAAATGTGACATGATTGTGTTATGGCGGCATGTGTGTCTGCCTGTGAGGGATGGCCAAGGCTGGACCTCCATTCTTCTGTTTCAATGTGGCTTCTATAACAGGAAGTCAGAAAGAAACAGACGAACGTGACGCTCGACCGTGATGTGGGAATAATGAGAATAACGAGTTCCCAGCTGGGATCGTTCCTGCAAACGCCTCCTCAGAGTCAGGACAGCAGATCGCAGCTTCACAGCTCACTGAGCTCAGCCAGACGCTGCCCCCTGCTGGTGGGTTTGTGCAGATAAATACGATTGTTGAATCGCTTTATGACATCATGATGCATCGTTTTCATCTCCTTCGACCATCTAAGACAACGGTGTGATCACCTGATGTCTGGAAAACGCCGCTCACTCTTATTTTGAAGGT